AATGGTCAAATCTTACCGCTGCGGAGTCAATAAGTCGATCTGCATCTCCATCATCCCGTAGGACTCTACAATGAGAGTGCGCCACGAACCAGTCAAGATAGTCTCTCGTAGTCTCATATGGATACGTCGTCCACGGCTGAGAGTACATGTCTATATGAACCATGTGGGATAGCAGAGCATCCCATGCAGCATCAAAACTCTCAGGAATCCGAAGGACATATCCACCAGGTGCCTCTGGTCGGTCTGCTCGCTGAGGACGCGAAGGGGCAGGCGGTACCATCTGTCGGTATCCAAACTGTCGGAGGCAACGGGCTGGATCATAGAACTCGCCTATGTCAGCGAACCGGATGACTCCAGTGTACAAAGAGCGACGCACTGCCTGATGAGGCCTCTGATGGAAAGGTGTCCAAAACACATCAGAAGGGGTCAAGCTGTCAAGAGCTCGACGGTAGAACGCCAACCTCACACTGGGATCCGCCACAGAACCAGGTGCCGGCTGCCCAATCCATCGTGAAGCCCAAGCATCATCAGGTCCAACGGCGGCAGGCTCGAAGTGAGATGGCCTGAAACCCGGAAAGTACTCGTAGATCCAACACTGCAGAAGTGTGAGACAACCAGCCATCCCCCTGGCACCAGCACGAGACGCCTGACCAAGGTATCTGTACAACCAAGCAAGTGTACCTGACGCCCAACTATACTGATCTAACTCCTCCAACTCGTCCAAAAATAGGTTCACCACCGACCGAACCCTGTCTCTACTCTTGTCCACAAACAAAGTGGACCCCAACAACAACAACAAGTACGACTGAGCCTCTGTCACTAGGGGTGAACAAACACACCCGCAAACCGACCCACCCGTCCAACCCGACCCAACCCACCCGTATTTATCGCTAAATCGAAGGTTTTGGGTTGGGTGAGAGTTTTCTTTTGTACAACCCGTCTCTTTTGGGTTGGGTTTGAATTTTGGATTACACAACCCGTAGAACCCGACCCAACCCGTGTTCCAATTATTGGTATGAGTTTGTATCCAAAAAAATATTTATGTCGTATACAGTCATACTTATGAGAAAATTAAGATATTTCGCCATGTTTTTCTCTTAAAGTCTCGCTAATCTAATGCATTCTTCGACTTAAAGTTTAGACATATATTTAATATAACTATGATTCACGTATTTTTTTTCTTGTGTACAATTTTAAAAGTATCATATTATGAATGCGTTCATTTGTAACCTTTTTAGCCTATTTCAACAAATGTCGTGAAAAAAACTAGACATAAGTTGAAGTAAATCAAGTTTTATTAAAATTCAAACAATATTTTTTAATTTTGATACCTTTCACCTCGGTTTATTCGTTTGAATTTTTAATTTGTTATAAAATATTTATTTGATGTAGAATAATTACATATTTTGTGTTGGGTTGGGTTTTTACTTAAAAATATCGCCAACCCGACCCAACCCAATTAGAAACAAACCGTAGGGTTTAGATTTTTTTAGGTGGGTTTGGGTTTAATATTTCCCAAACCGTAGTGCATGGGTCGGGTGATTAAAATGCCTAAACCCGGACCACCCGACCCATGTACACCCCTATCTGTCACATGTATCCCGTGGCTCTGCAAGTATCTGGACGCCATCTCTGCAAGAAAACCACCCTTCTCGTACCACTTACCCCTATTATTATATCCAGGGACCTCCGTACGACCACTCAACTGCTCTGAGTTCATCCCAAGAAGCGCACACAAACCCGCCTCCGGATGGTCAAGCTGCGCAGAACTCCTACTCATCAGTCGTCCCTCAACAGGAATCTGCAGTAAGTACTGAACATCGTGGAGGAGGATCGTCATCTCTCCAAAAGGCAAGTGGAAGGTGTTCGTGTCTGGCTGCCACCTCTCCACAAAAGCTGAGATCAAAGCATCGTCAATCGCTATCTTGCGGAACATAGAGTACATCAGGTGCTGGAGACCTGACTGCTGAACCAGATTCTCCGCCTCAACATGACTAAACACGTAGCTACTCAAATAAGCAACCGCCGATGTACGGCTGTAGCAACTGATGACCCCTCGATCTCCAGCCCCCGTCCAAAGCGCATAGGCAACGTGTCCACGAAAGCTCCTAATGAGGCTAGGATCCGTAGGTCCACCAGGACACTCACCAACAAGCTCCCACGGTGGAGGACCACTCGAACGTCCTCCCCTACTCCGTCCAGTCCCCGAGCTCTCTGTCTCCTGACGAGCAGGTGGTACGAATCGCCCAGCTCGGTCCCTATACATAGCAGGACGTGATGTTGCCGTACGAGACGGCACTCGTCCATGTCCACGCGTAGGTGGAGGGACCTCGATATCCTCATCACTATCGTCCTCATCAAACTCAGCCGAGACCACTCTGGATGCAGCACCCTGGTTCCTCCCATGGGAACCAGACGCCCGTGATGCCGAACGAGCAACTACAGTAGGAGCCTCTAACTCATCCTCCCCTAAATTTGCCTGTGACTGATGTCCAATATCTCGAGAGCGCTTATTCTCCTTATTCTTCCTTCGTGCTGATGCATCAACAATCCTACCATTGAATCTATACAACTCATCCCTACCCGCATGACCCGCATCATCCATATCTAATTATCTACAAATTTACAAAATATCATACTTAGATGCGCACTAATTAATTAATTTTCTATTAACTAATGTAATATTAACATCAATTGTTAATTAATCACAAATTAATTAAATTTCTATTAACTAATGTAATATTAACATTAATTGTTAATTAATCACAAATTAATTAATTTTCTATTAACTAATGTACTATTAAAATTAATTGTTAATTAATCACAAATTAATTAATTTTCTATTAACTAATGTACTGAATATTAACATTAATTGTTAAATCAATTCTTAATTAATTAAAATTCCATTAACTAATCTAAGTAATTAAACATTCAAACGCCTATTACAAAAAAAAAACATTTATACACCAACTTAAATAAATATTAACACTAATTGCTAATTTCTACTAACTAATTAAGTATTTATTTATTTATTAATTAATTATCGTATTAAATTAAATTAAATACAAAAAATGGCCGGGCCGAAAGAATTTTGCGGCCGGTGCGCCGCCGGGCCGAAAAAATTTTGCGGCTGGTGCGTCGTCGGGCCGAAAAACTTTTTCGGCCGGTGCGACGGCCGGCCGAAAATTTCTTTCGGCCCGGCGACGCCACGGCCGCAAATTATTTTCGGCCGGCCGACGAACACGCCGCCGGAAATTTTTTTGGCGGCGAGGTCGGCGACCGGCCGAAAAAAATTTGCGGCCGCGGCGTCGCCGGGCCGAAAGAATTTTTCGGCCGGCCGTCGCACCGGCCGAAAAATTCTTTCGGCCCGGCGGCGTATTGGCCGCAGTTTTTTTTCGGCCCGCCCTGTTTTTCGCCAGAAAACTGGAAAACTTGCCGGGAAACTGGAAAACTGGCCGGAAAACTGGAAAACTGGCCGGAAAAAATAAACTTACTTGTTTTCCGACGAGCTGAGGGCGACGGGAGGTTAGCCGACGACGGAAGAACGGTGCCGGCGACGGAGGCACTGGGCTCGTCAACAGAAGTTTTTGTTGGAATGAGTCAAATGTTCATGGGTATCCGAATTTATAGAATGAAAGGAAGGGAAGGGAGGGAAAATTCAAAATTTGAATTCAAATTTTTTTTTTTTTTTTTGGTTGGCGGCAAATAGCAATTTGGTTGGCGGCAAATAGTCGTTCACTTTTAAATTGTTATGTAGTGGGTTTCCATTAGTCTAGGTTCAATAATTATAACAAAAAAAAATAACATAAAGAAATAATATATAGGTCGAACACTAAAATAATACCATCATCATTTAAGAACATAAAATATAAAAATGTATCATTGATTTGATTTTCATAATGATAATATTATATTGATTAGTTGATTGTCAAGAAAGATAGAATATAAAAACTCACTGGAATTACCACTTGACTCATATATAGTTTGAAACTGAATCTAAAACCTCACAATCCTACATAAAGGCTTCAATGCTCTCTTTTTAGGAACAACATGCCACTAATAAAAAAGAAATAGAGAGTTGTAGGTTCAAGTCAACCATATACTATAAACTAAGCTAAGAGGGAACCATCAAAACTCGAGAGCAAAGGACAAAATTAGGGTTATCTATCTCCAAAATACTAATAGACTTGACCAAAGTCATAAGACACAAAATTAGACACTCTTTTTCTATCAGTTTCAGTAGGTTGATAAAGAATCGACCTAATTCAGTAAATCAATCAATGATTTCTCGTTTTAAGATAGAAATAGGTTGTGGTAGCTACAAAAACCATAAACCTAAAGAGCCAATAGCCACCACTCTTCGTTGAACGACCAAATATTTATCCACTCTATCTTTAATCTCAAGAGGCATATGTTTCAACCAAACAACTCCATTTCTGCTACTTTGATGAACCTTCTCTCTGTGGCCCTCAATTTCTCTTCAAAATGAGGTTCTTGTCAACTCGCTCTTCAACTCCTCAATCTTCTTCTTGTGTTTGCCAACTCATCTTCCTCGGGGCAGTTGTAATACTTTCGCTAAAACCAACACTCATCTCCAATTCCATTAATATGTTCATCTCCCCTTTGTCTGTCTTCTCCTGCTTCAGTCCACTTCAATGACCTTCAATAACCTCTCCATTTTGATTACTATGCTCATCATCTCTCACTTCTCTCTCTTTAACTGTTTTAGTTTTGCTTCCATGTCTTTCAACACCCTCCTCAATTCATTTGCTACCCTCTCCAACTCCCTCTTCTCTGCCTTCACTTGCTGCAGTTAGGGGTGGATGTTCGGGTTCGGTGTTCCGGGTAAACCAAAACCAAAACCGAAAATCGAAGAATCAGTGGCAGGAGCGGGTCTCGGCTGCTGGTTTGGTTGTTTTTCGGGTTTCGGTGAAACCGAGCACCGAAACCAAAGTCAAGCGGAACCGAGGGGGAACCGAAATAAGCCCCTAGCCAATACTTCACTCTACTAGGCCCAGCCCAACAATGGTACTCAGAACCCCTAACCCACGAGTTGTCATTAGGCTTAAGCCCATCTTAGAGAAAGGCTTCTCCACAGCTTTTCCCCTTGTTTGAGTTTCTTCTTCAGATGAGTAGAAGAAGAGCGGATCTAGAATCGAGAGGAAGGAAGAGGTTGCCTTCAGCCTCTGTCCCACCCTAGCAGCCATCGCCTGCCGCCAAAACCAGTGTCATTGTGCCTCTACTTGGTCCATCTTCGGCTCTCTCCCTCATGTCAACTCAATCGGTTGTCGTTGGTCTTCCCCCTTCGAGAGAGGCGACTCATTGGAATCCCATACGAAGGATCTGATTCCCCCACCGCCCTCAAGAATAAGTGATCGAAGTCGTCAACGGTGACCTGGTCCATCTCTCGGGTAACCGCATAAGAACCGAGACCCACCAACTTCGGTACTCGGGTATCCGAGAACCGCTATGATCTCGACGTTGGGTCCTGAAATGGCTGAGTTTCGGGATCGGGTAACCGACGAGTTCGGTTCGGGTGCCCGAAACAGACCCGATCTCCAGCCCTAGCTGCAGTGGAACTTTACCTGTTACCAAATCCAAACATAATTCCCCCCCAACACCACCACTTCCATTCTCAAACTCAATTCCAATTCTTCTACTCCAAGTTCAAATTCATAACTACTTGATTGAACTCCATTCTATTCGCCATGGATTAATATCGGATTTGAAATTTTCTATTTGCCCAGCTTAAATCTCCAAAATAAAACTGTTGTGCCAAGAGAAATCGGAAGATTAATTTTCAAATGCACCCTTATACTGGGGAGTGAAAGGACCAAATTATTGCACAATGAAGGGACTTTCGGAGAAAGTTATAAAGAGATAACTCTATCTATCTCTCTCTTTCTTTTACTGATTTCCACCTTAGAGATATGAGTGGGTGATATAGTAGACTATCTAAATACTTTGGTATGGGCCTGCAAGAATTTGAGCCCAATAAAACCATCGTCCCTTTTCATCCACGGACACAGGTGAATCATTCCAGTTCAAACCTCACGAGATTCTTGGTTGAAAACATTTTGACTTTGCCTAGCTAGTAATCAGAATACTGTAGTAACGAAGCCACAACAATATTGCCTTACAGAAAATAGACTTAGCCTAGACGCGAATACGCGAGACTTGGCTTCAACTTCTGATTGGCAAACACTACAACACTTAGCCCTTTAGCTGGATACATTTATGCAGATAATGCAGTGGCCAAATGAACATTGTTTCCTATGTATAAAACTACAAATGCAAACTCCACAATCAGCTGAATATTGATAGGCAAGCAAAAAACAGTCACAGGCCTGCACAACAACAAGGTGCCATCAAAAGTACTTTCCATTGCACAACATAGAGAGATTACATATATTGATCAAGAAAAAATGGCTACTGAAACTAGGGTGGGATCACTTGATTACGACTTGTGCTTTGCTGGAGGCCCGCTGAAACTCATTCAACGCTTTTAGAATCCAAATCTGTTCGCTAGGTAGTGAATTTGCTGAGAACGTTATCTCCATCTTGTCAAGCGCGGGTGAAGCGGATAATAACCATCGGATGAAACACATTTCGGTTATTAAACCCTGCAACTGATTCAATTCAACTTTCTCCAGCCTACTTGGTTGGTACGTCCTGCTTTCACACAGCAGCTGTATGATTCTCACCTCGACGTCTACACAAGGGTTTGGCTTTATCACGTTCTGCAATTCCGAATCAAAGAATACTAGTAAGCAGCAAAAAACTGCCTTTATTTTTCCAAATTCTTACTAAACCTAGACAAGGGGTAGCTTACATTCACAATGAAATCCTCAAGCCAAAATACTACATCCAGCAAAATTCAGTATGTCTTTTTTTTTTCTTTCTGTGAACATCAGCAGTTAATGCGCACAAAATAGAGAAAGAGAGGGACACACACAAACAAAGAGAGGAGTTGAAGATCTTACATCGATGATGAGTTCTTGCAAGTTAGGGGAGTGTTCCATTAACAAAAGACAAGCCAAGGCATCCCTCGGATTGCTGATACACATTTCACCCATCCTGAGTTGCTTAAGCATCATTAGCTTTGCTAATGGAGCCGTTAGAGCCATCATCTTTGAAGCTGCCAAATCCTGTAATGCCCAATGAGTTAGTTAATGCAAGAAACAGTTGTGCCAACTCAAAACATCAAAGAATATGGGTCAAGACAGCAGTAGTATATTTACCTTGAACAGCCCCATTGTTATAGATAGCCGCTCAACTGCTGGACACCACCGCATAATTTAGTGAAATTAGAGGGATCATCTGTGCCCATAGGATGAGCAACAAAGCTTGCAGTCTGATAGACGGTCACATCTTTGAGAAGTGGAGCCTCCTTGACCCGCAAAGAGCTGAAGCTCCCCGCACAATGGAAAAGGCTGAGGCTGGGTGCTTCAATCAGTATGTCGAGACGGTTGAATGCACTGCCACAATCTACCATAATCAAAACCGACAGCAATGGGCATCTAACGACGAGAGAAACCCCAGCAACATCCGGGAACTTGGTTGATCTAAGATCAAGACAAGTAAGCACGCTGAATTGATCGAACGAAATTTGAGAGGATGTGAACATGCAGGCAAACAACTTCAACTTCTTGAGCTGCCTGAATGAGAAGAGACGAATAGGCAGCTTGTAACCATCGATCTCAATGCACAACCTCTCGATACATTTCTCGTGCAAGGAAAGCAAGATCTGATCAACAAGAGCAGGGTAGCTGCTCAGTTGAGGGATAGAAAGAGAGAACTCCTTCAAGGGTCCCTTGTGGTAACAGAGAACTCTGAACACATCCAACACGAGTCTGTTGATCCTATTAGGATCGACCACATAAACCCCCTCATGCTGAGCAGATGTCTCGAAAACTGGAAATGACGTCCAGAAACGGTCATCGAATATGAGTGATGGACGATTCACCCATTTGTTCCTCCAGGCAGTTGACAAGATACTGGTCTTAACTGTTTCTCGTAATGGAATAAAGGTCAAGATGTGCTCAATTATACTCTGCGGCAGAGAACTGATTCTATCGCCATCATTGCCACTATCACGCCTACAGACATTTTTGTTCTCTGGACCAGGAACATCCTACGGGTAACACATAAGGCATGGAATCATATAAAAACATACAGCACAGCGAAGACCATGGATCCCTAGGGTTTCGTTTAGGCAGAAAAGCATATCATATCAATGCTCAAGATCATTGAAATCCCAAGACCACAATAGGGGAAAGAAAGAGCGACTCACCATAGTCGTCAATGGCTCTCTTCTTGTGAACTTTCTGTTGAATATTGGTGCAGCCGCTTCGTTACTGCCACTCCCCGTCCCGGCTGAACTCTAAGACCATCACAATGGAGTTCGAAAATGTCAAAAAGTGGTAAAATCCTCCTTGGAATTATAAAAGTCCCAAAAAGTAAATAAAAAAATCTAATTCCCCAAAAGTAAATAAAAAAACGTTTAATTTGGAGCGAGATTTGGCCAAGACAAGAAGGTTCTAGACTAGTGGGACCCGTAGAGAGCGAGCCGAGCAACACACCGAGGAGGACGTCTGGGGCGCACGCTCAGTTGTGATTGGTTGTCTTCCCACGAGCGAGTGTCGTACACGCTCCCTTCTCATAGTCTTTCCGTGTATGCGGGCAGGGGTTCGCCTTTTAGTTCAGATTGTCATACATTCATCAGAATAGTTTGAAATTTAGATAGGTGAAACATGATAAATGTTGATTACAAATTTGTAAATACTGATCTTATATTAGTAAGAATTAGGTGAGTTAAATGTAATAACCATAATTAAACAATTTTGATAATTTTCCGTTTAAGAAATTAGATAAAAAAAGGTTGTACAAAAGAAGTGAGTTAAGATTAAAAATACATTAGGTTAATTTTGGGTCATATACTATGTTCAAGTACAACGCTTCCGGTTATGAACAACTATGTTCAGGATTGTTTTGTTAACTTCAAATAGTTCATTTTCCCAGTAAATGGTTTGTTCTGCTTTTATTGGGTCATTTTTATTTACCACACCAATTGATTTGAGACTCAATTCAACTAAATGTGGTGGATTTGGTATGAACGTATTATTTGGTTGTACTGAAATGATGATGCACTGTGGCAATCATTGATTGTGGAATATAAGACTTCATTGATTTTGGAATTTTGGAATGATCACCTGGAATAAGGTGGTATCCTTCAACCTCTCCAGTCTCCACTGTGAAACCCGTTTGCTCCTGCTCGAGTTTGAAAGTGGCAGTCTTGCAAGCTGTCATGGTTGAGCCTTGCAAATAAAAACTGTAAATCATCAACGAAAGAGCACTCAGTTCCTGTCTTCAATGATAATACCTCTAATCATAAGAAAGAAAACAAGAGTGACCTGGGCATGCGCACACTCTCCAAGACATTTGGAACATATTATGCACAAGTCAATCCAACAGAAAAGACAGCACAGAAATGGCTTCAAATTCCTTGAAGAAGAATGAGGGAGCATGTTCATTTATCAAGGTGATACTATGATTTGAACATGTCAATCATTTACAGAACAAGTTGAGACCTCAAAGTACTCGATGCATCAAGTATTTTAAGAAGAACAATGGCTACTGAAAACCAGGGTGGCTATATTATGATTTGTGCTTTGCTGGAGGCCCGCTGAAACCCATTCAGATCCCTCAGAGTCTGAATCTGGTCGGCAGGTAGTGAATTAGGAGAAAACTTGATCTCCATCTTGTGAAGCTCAGGTGAAGCAGCTAATAACCATTGAATGCAACACATCTCTGTTCTTACACCCTGCAACTGATTGATCTCCACTTTCAACAGCTTACTTGCTTTGTGTTTATTGAGTCCACACACCCTCTGTATGGCAGATATCAGGTTGAGATCTATGTACTGGGTTGCCATTGCCTTGGTCTGGAATTCCAAGCAAAGAATAACAGTAAGAAGGCAGTTGCTTTTTTTTTTCTTCTTCGCATTCTCTAACAAAAGCTAGACACAGGGTAGCTTACAATCAAGTTAAAATCCACTAGCCAAAAGTTACATCCTCAATCAAGGATCAAAGGCGGAAACCACCCAATTATTGTAAACTTATCTAGTTCAGCAAAATTCAGCTTGTTTTTCTTTCTGTGGACTTCAGTATTTAACGCACACAACACATACAGAGAGAGGGGATGAGAATCTCACAGTGATGATGAGGTTTCGCAAGTTTGGGGCAAGTATGATTAAGAGCATACTACACCAGACATCCCTCGGACAGCTGAGACACACATCACCCAACCTTAGTTCCCTTAGCATCATTAACATAAATATTTGACCCGGTTGAGTAATCAGATTTTGAGTTGCCAAGTCCTGCAATTCCCAAGCAAGATAATGTAAGAAATAGCTCCGGCTACTCAAAACATCCAAGATGATAATAGTAGTATATTTACCCTGAAGAGCTCAAGTGCTATACATAGTTGCTCTAGTGCTGGACAACCACCACATAATTTCATGAAATTAGTGGGTTCATCTTTGCTCTTAGAAGGATCAACTAACCTTGCAGTCTGATGGACAATAACATCTTTGAGATGCCGAGCATACTTGACACACACAGAGCTAAAGTTCCCCACGCAATGGAAATAGCTAAGGCTGGGTGCTTCACTCAGTATATCAAGATAGGTGCCATTAGCGGTGTCACAAGCTATCAGAGTGAAAGTTAAAAGCAATGGGCATCTGATGATGAAAGAAACCCGCTCAGCATTTGGGAATTTGATCCATCTAAGATCAAGGCTAGTAAGCATTCTGAATTCCTCGAACGAAATTTGAGAGGAAGTGAACGCGCAGGCATACAGACGCAACTTCTTGAGCTGCCTGAATGAGAAGAGACAACGAGGAACCTTGTATTCATTGATCCAAATGAATAAGCTCTCAATAAATTTATCGTATAAGGAAAGCAAAATCTGATCAACATATGCCGGGAAGGTACTCAGTTGAGGGATAGAAAGAGAGAACTCCTTCAAGGGTCCCCTATGGTGGCAGAGAACTGTGAACACATTCAACATCAGTTTTTCGATGGTAATAGAATAGACCCCATTACTACCGACATTCTTATTTGCAGCCACCTCAACTGGGTATGGTTTCCAGAACTGGTCATCGAATACAAGCGATGGACGATTCACCCATGTGCGCCTCCATGAAGTTGACAGGACACAGGTCTTGGCCGCTTCTCGTAATGGAAGAAAACTCAAGATGTGCTCAATCAGATTGTTTGGCAGAGAACTGATTTTATCGCCGTCATGGCCACTTCCTTCTCTGCAAATGGTTTTATTCCTGGGACCAGGAACATCCTATGGACAACATATGACAATGGAACCGTATCAAACATAAGCAAAACTGAAAATACCCACAAGGGGGTAAGGAAACGAGAAAAAGCCTGAATAACTAGGGTTTTAGCTAAATGCTTTTGAGTCTTTTTGAAATGCCAAATCCCCAATACCAAGCACAATCAATAGAGTAAAAGAGTGACTAATAAAGAATCGAGCTTTGAATCCGATGATGGGAATTTCATGAACAAAGTTATCGCTGCAAGGGTTCCCCTCATCTTTCCTCGACATGGGTCATTAGGGAAACTGATTATGTTGAGTTCCGATGAAAAGGATTAAGATTCCGACGATAGATTGGTAAAGAAAACCAAGAAGACCGACTCACCATCGTTCTCAAAGACTCTCCGGTTGGATGTTGTTACTACCCGCTAGTCGCCGTGCCTGCTGAACTATACGCATTGGTGATCGGAGCCTCGGAGTTGGAAGTGAAAGTAGGAAGGTCATTTTTGTCTTTACATATTTATTATTTAAATCATATAAAAAATAGCAATATCAAGATTTGAACCCGGGTCTCTTCAAACAAAGATAACAAGCACAACCAGTTACACTAAACAAATTTATTGAATCCTTTTTATACAAAAAAATAGACAAAGTTAATCTCTAAAAATCAGAGGACTTTTTGATCATAATTAGCAAGCTCACTAAGTCTACCGTATGTATTTTTATCGAGCTTGATACTTCTATTTTCATAGTAGAGTTTCATGTAATTTTCTCAATTTTAAATTCCCGCTCTCTCCTTAATTTTTGCTAAAGGTAAATGGGTAATTGGCCAACATGGAAGAAACTAATTATGTAACTACTGTTGTATCCTCGCATTTTCAATTTAAATTTAAATTTTGTGTTTTTTTATCTTTGTTCTTTTCTCTTTCTAACTTCCTCCGAAATTTCATCCATCGTGCAATAGTTTGCGCCTTTCACTTCCCAGTGCATGACTGTTATTGAAAATCAATCTTCAGGTATCTCTTGGCACTACGGTTTTATTGTTAGGGATTTTAAGCTGGGCGAGTAGAAGATTTCAACTTCGATATCAATTCATGGCGAATAGAATGGAGTTCATCAATAACTGAAGTTGTAGAAGAAAGATTAGAAATTGAATTTTTGGTTGAATATATGCCTCTTGAGATAGAAATTTGGTTGTACAACGGAGAGTGGTGGCTATTGGATCTTTAGGTTTATGGTTTTTGCAACTGTCATAACCTATTTCTATCTTAAAACGAGGAATCATTGATTGATTGTTTGAATTCTTTATTCAACCTACTGGAACTAATAGATAAGGAGTTTCTAATTTTGCGCCTTATTACTTTGATCGAGTCTATTCGTATATTGGAGATAACCCTGATTTTTTCATTTGCTCTCAAGTTGTGATGGTCCCCTCTTAGCTGAGTTTTTAGTATATAGATGACTTGAATCAACAACTCTCTATTTCTTTTTGATTAGTGACATATTGTTTCTAAAAGGAGAGCATTGAACCCTTTATATAGGATTGTGAGGTTGAAGATTTAGTTTCAAACTATCTATGGGTTGTGTGAGAATTTCAGTGAGCTTTTATACTCTATATTTCTTGATTGTCAAAGAAAACTAACCAATAGCATTTTAACAGGGACTTAATTAGCATTATGAAAATGGGCTCAATGATACATTTTTATATTTTATATTCTTAAATGATTATGATATTTCTCCGAATGTTCGACCTATATATTATTTCTTTATGTATCATCTCGATCGAATAATTATCAATAAAATTAAACGGGTTAATAGACGTAAAAGTAACATAAAAATACAAATAATCAAATATGAGCATTCCGGCCAAAGGGCCGGGTTATAAGCTAGTACAAAATAACCATTGACTTTACGTGTTTTTTTTTTACAATGATAACCAACTTTTATTCCACCAATCGTAAGAAAACAGGAAACCCAGTTACAATTTTAAAGAAGATAAAAAATGAGGTCAAGAATATTAATCCAATCATCAGGTAGCGATGCTCTCGCTTTTGTTCTTGCAACCCAATCTGCTCTGACGTTGAGTGCCAGGGCACCTCCTTAATTCGAATGAGAGGGTTTTTCCTAAGGATAGAGACAATCGAACCAATCCACGCTGCACACCTCCATGGCCATCGAGATTGATCATGATTCAACGTTTTAACCAGAACTTGACAGTCTGATTGGACTGTACACTCGGAACCATATTCTTTAGCCAATTTCACTCCTTCCAGCTCGCCCATCACACACTTATCTATGATGGTTAACAACCACAACACATATGCCCCCGGCTGGGAGTCACTAATCAACGACCCATCACAGTGAATCACCAAAGAATGATTACTTGGCGGTGGATTCATATGAGACTGGGTTCCCCTAATCTGAGAGGGAAGGGAAGGCATGGGAGGTGGGGACCTCGGGCAAGATTTCCATTCATTAAGCTCTTTATAAAAATAACCTTTCTTGCCTCACAGAGACTAGCTCAAATCCAGGATGCTTTGCTTCCCTTTTTTGCATGAAGAAAATCACCTCTTGGGAAGTATAGACCTTTAAGGAGACGGCTCCAAAGGGAATTAAGGGATGTGAGAAGGAATCTCAAACCTCCCTCTGACTTAGGCATACACAAAATCTAAAAGTCTCCTTCCTACACCAATGGAAGAGAATGGACTCTCTCCTTAGTACTTTACATGTTCGATTCATCAAATTGTTATTGTTCATTCATTTTTTACGTGATACTAACTCTCAAATTTGGTTACTTAAATAATATATCAATTAAAAGTTAATAAGAAACTAAAATTTAATATATTTTTACAACTTTCCAACTCATCAAACCACGGATTCCAATTGTTCATTAGATAAACATGGGTAAATGTCACATTTGGTCACTAAGATTTCTAAATCATGTCATGTTTAGTCATTAGAAAAAATTAATATTAATTTTGGTCACTCGAATTATTGAAACATGTCACATTTAGTCACCCTTCGTTAGTTTTCGTCCAAATCCATAAATGTGACATGTTTCAGTAATTCGAGTGACATTCGTAAAAAAAAAAAGAGTGATTCGAGTGACCGGAGTTGGACGGAGGCTAACGGGAGAGTGACTAAATGTGCCATGTTTTAGTAATTCGAGTGACCAAAATTGATATTAATTTTTTCTAATGACTAAACATAACACGATTTAGTAATCCCAGTGACCAAATGTGACATTTACCCGATAAACATGAAAGAAAGGAAGTTGTATAGTCAATGAAAACCATACAATTTAACCAGGTTCTATGGGTTTGAAGTGAACGTTTTAGTTTCCGACCTGCTTGACCCTTCCCCTATGTTTGGCAAAATTGTGGGGGTGCAAGTTGAGGTGCAAAGTGAAAGTGGTGCAAATTGGAAGATGGTGTAAGTGGAGTGGTAAATTGTTGTTTGGAATAATAAAGTAGGGGGGTGCAAATAAGCTGAAAAGTAAATAAGGTATATTATTATAAAGTTAATTTATTAAACTTGTAAAATATTATCACAAAATATTCATAATAAATTAATATTAAATAAAAAGTTATTAAGATAGGAGTGCTCAAACAATAATTATTTATCAAAAATAGTAAATAATATTATTAGGCCCATGAAAATCATCATTGGTCGAACAATATCGAGGATAATGAGTAGACTCGAACCCTAATTAGTGGCCAAGACATAAACTAGCTCATATCCCCCATGATCACTGATTTTTCGACATTGTGGTATCAAATCGAATCTATAAGTTTCAACTATTAACCAGGCAAATTGAGTCAACAATTGGAACCAATTTGACAAAAATATCCTAAACTCAATGACGACATTCGGAGTAAATCCAAAAGTAAATAATAATAATTATTTAATCGTCATTAATGGTTATTCTTACTATTATAATATATTAATAATAACAATTATTATTATATAATTACATGACATTCTTAGTCACAAAATAATTATAGAAAATAAAAAAAAACATATTTTTATCTAATACCCCTTCTCCTTCGCTTTCTCTCTCCATTTGCACTCCAAATTGGAGGTTGATGGAAATAGTGAACTTACCTCCAATTGCACCCTTCGGCCCTCACCACTATTCCTAATTATCAAAATGGGGATAAATGCATTGGACAATGCACTTACACCAAACTTGCACGTCCCTCCCATTTACCCTACATCCCAAACATAGTGTTCATGTCTTTTTTTTTAAGTTTTCTTTTTTCAATATTTAGGAAGTAGTTAAAAGTTAAACACAACTTTAGAATGAATGCTAATTTTGGCGGCAGTCTGGGGAATTTTTTTTTTGACGAATAGGCGGCAGTCTGAGGAAGATGCAAGTAGGTGAGTTTAGGGGTGGGATTCGGTAATCCGGTAAACGGTTTACCGTTTTACCGAACCGGTAACCGGCGGTAAACGGTAACCGGCGGTATCGGTAGCCGAGCGGGAAGTTGGGGGAGTCGGTTTACCGGACACGGTATCGGTAAATACCGATACCGATTTATCCCCCTCCCCACTCCCTAACTGATGAGCTGCGTTTTGTTGGGGGCCAAAGTCCAAACACTAAAAACACTCTCCTCTTCGTTTTTTCCAGCGACCACGACCGACCCGAGCCCTCTCCTCTTCGTTTTTTCCAGATCCCGCCGCGCAGCCTGACCTCTCCAGCTCTCCTCTTCTCGACGGCGACGACCGTGGAGCAACGGCGACGGGCAACTCTGACTCGCGTGCTTCCCTCGCCGGGTCTCTCCCTTCCCTCGCCGACGCGCGACGCGTACCCAGTCCCGTCGGCAGCCCTTCGCCCCTTCCCGTTGCCACTCGCCAGCCCTTCCCGTTCCCAGTTCCCACTTCCCAGTCCTCCCCCGCTCCTGCCATCCTGCTCCGCCGGGTAAGAATTGCAGATTTGGTTCCCCTGCCCTGCTCCTGCTGTGTGTTAGTGTTAATTTTTTTTTATGAATTCTGAAAATCCACCAGATGATGTGTAATATTTGGATGTGAGTTCTCCTAGAATGTCATTTTTGTCTAGCGGAATCTATTCAGTGCTGGATGAATAGGTTACGTGGATTGTGTCCCGTGAAGGTAGGAAGTTGTTTGAGAATAGAACTTAGTATGAGCAAATGAATGGAACTTGTTTTGTTTTGTTTGTTTTGGTTGAAGAACTCATTTTGTTTCTGGGATCATGAATGGGCAGAATGGCTGGTGCGGTGGGGAAAGATTGTCATTGTTAAGTGTATGTTTCCATTCGGTTGTGAGGAAAATGGCGGTAATTCGGTAAACCGGTTTGTAACCGTTTACCGGTAATTCGGTAATCGGTAAACCGGTTACAAATCGGTATCGGTAAACGGTAAACAGTTTTGCCAGCGTCGGTATATCGAAACCGGTAAATTCGGTAAACAATTTACCGTTTACCGACCGAATCCCACGCCTAGGTGAGTTTGTTTTTACATAAACTTAAATTTGGGGAAAATGTTGAGAAAAGAAAAGTGGAAACAAACACACCAAAAAAAATATTAGTAATTAATTAGTAAATTTTAACTCATTCACACAAATACATTTTTTCCCTTTGAATCACAAAGACATTTTTGTGTCACTCTATAAGCAAATAGTTTCATTATTCGAGAAATCATGATAATCAGGAATATAGGTGAGTGGGAATAGTACCAATCCTCCAACAATGTAGAGCTATCTTGAAGTTGACATAAACGGGGCCTATGATGATTGATTAGTCATCCTCAACTACAACCTCATGTATGTAATATCTACCTAGGAGCACCAATTCCTCATGAGCAGCAAAGTTGAGGTGGTTAAAGGGGTCAGAGATGCCATGATGCACCATGTTATGTGCCAAATTGACGACATACATGATGTGCAAAATGAATTGTCGATGAAAAGAAGACGAGGTCGGACTTACACAATCTATTTTTTTCCCTATTTTCTCATCTGCTAGCTTACTGTAAGAAAACAATTTCCTATAAAAAACCCTAGTTCAATTACAAGAGCTAGCTTTTTTTTAGAATCGTTAGTCTAAAATCTAAATACGTCTTAAGTTTGACATCTCATTATACTAATACTGTGTTACTCAATAGTAAGAGAGCAAAAAAACATAGAAATGAAATAAAAATCTTTCAAAAGCCAATACAATCGTTTCTGTCTTGAATATATGATTTTTACAACCTCGAATTTAAGAATCCACTACTTATATGAATCCACATTCTTATGAGATTCCATAAATTGCAATTTATGTTATTTTTTGTAGAAGATCTACAAAAAGTTATCAATAAAAAATATCGTATTCTTCAATGGTATTTTTTTTAAAAAAAAAATTTGCTGGTCCGGCTTGAACATTTTGTCGTCTACACTCTACATCGTCACTCTGCTTCTCTGTTACTATAAACCCTAACAACCATCGAACTCGTCTCCTTCCTCTCCCTCTTCCATTACCCATTGGAAGAAAAAGGCTGACCTACGAACAAGGAAGGAAAGGATCGCCATTGATCCTCCGACAATGAACTCAACGCTCACCACTTCCTTCCTCAATTTCAAAGTACCTTCTTCTTCTTCCTCCCCCTTCTCCTCCTTCAATTCAACTTCCCAACTCCCCCATCGTCTCAATTCCACCAGGCTCGCCCACCCGCAACCTTCTTCCATTCCCACCATTACAGCATGCCTACCAAACCCATACCCACCCTTAATCATCCAGCGCCTCAAAACCCTGGCCAAAACCGCCGTCTTGATCGCCGCCTCTGCTTCCGCCGCCGCCCATTTCTCCGTTCTCCACCCGGCCAAAGCCGAACCCCCTGCAGCAGCCGAAGCTACTCTAGCTGAAGAAACCCCGGCCACCATCGAAGAGCAACTGGAGCCAAAGAACCCAGCTGCTGTGGAGCTGAAGGATGAGGACTCTTCTTCGTCCTCCTTCGCCTCTCCTTTGTCCGAATTTCTCGTGGGTAACACCGAAGCCGTCGAGTCTCTGAAGTCCCTGCTGCAGCAGAAGCTCGAGAGCCGTGAAGACGAGGAGGCGCTCAAGATCCTGACCCGCCTCGTCGCCGCCCAGCCCGCGGCGGTGGAGTGGAATTTCCTGATGGCGAGGTTGTACAACGAGATGGGTCAGTCCCAGAATGCCCGCAAGGTGTTCGAGGAAATTCTCGCTGTGAATCCTCTGTCGTTCGAGGCTCTTTTCGAGAATGCGCTGCTCATGGACAAGTGCGGGGAAGGGGAGGCGGTGATTGCGAGGCTGGAGAATGCTCTGCAGATAGCGGAGGAGGAGAACAAGGTGAAGGAAGCTCGAGATGTGAGGTTGATAATGGCGCAGATACAGTTCCTGCAGAAGAACATTGAAGAGGCGATGAGGATTTACCAGGAGCTTTCGAAGGAGGATCCCAAGGATTTCCGGCCGTATTTCTGCAGGGGAATGATTTACAGCCTGCTAGATAAGGACGTGGAGGCGAAGCAGCAGTTCGCCAAGTATCGAGAGCTCTCGCCGAAGAAGTTTGAGGTGGATGGATACTTGAGGACTCCATTGTCAAGAATGAAGGTTTTTGGGCCGAGTGATGAGAACTGAGCTCCACTGTAAAAGGCGGGAATAACAATGGAGAGAGTTGAATTCCTCCATAAGAGGCCGATCGAGGAACCACATTTGGGTAGAGTTCGTTCGTTCCTCGCAGCTTCTTCTTTCTAGCTTATCCTTGACATTTTTTTACCTGATTTTGTGCAATCCAATTACAAACTACAGATGATGTGTTTGAAACCTAAGAAATAAAAGGGAAGAGAGATCTCAAGCAGTTGTAGTTTTGAGGCAGACATTGATTGATTGATTGATTAGAATCTCTCTTGAATTGTAGACCGACCATGTACCAGCTTACATTAATGTGGTAGAGACTGCTTAGCAAATGCTTATTTTCTGTGTGTATTTTACCTTTCTTGTTCCTCCGACGCCTGGTGTAATTCCTTATTCCTCGTCGATTTTCTATCAATGGCCGATCTAATTGTTTCAGACACGGCGATTCTCACTTCCAGAGGGCTCAACCTGAGATCTCTTCATCCCTTTGAGAATCTTTGATGCTGCCCACTTCTTTAAACTGTTGCTTGCTGGTGGGTGACCTGATCAGGTCAGGATCATCACGAGATGTCTTCATGATGCGTATTTTGACCTTCCAAGTCCATGGAAGGCTGACAATGTCGCTCTTCCACCATCTCGTTCCGACACTCGCACCAGCCTCCAGAGTACAAAATGCACTATAGCAACTGACATTGCGCGATGACTGAACCTCTTGCAATGTGCCTGATAAAACCAAATAGAACTTTCATAAGATTCCCTTAACTTGATGTCGAATATTATCACAATCATGATCGCAATGATACTGCTACCACGATCTCAATGAGCTTTGGTTCTTGGAATCTGAGGCAAAAGGATCTATAGAAAAATTCTGATGCCCGTTTTACAAACTCGATTCACAATTGTCGTGCCACGTGAAAATTTATTGAATTCCCTTTCATTTGCATTTACTAATGGAAAGCATAGTTGATGAACCTAAGACATTTTTGCATTCATTAAAAGAAGGGGGGTAAACAGCAGTTTCATCAAAAGCATATCACAGCTTTTACCTGCACTCTAACATGCTGGCTTGTGTCCCTGACACCCTGGAGTTCCTCTCGAGGAAACAAAATTCTCCCGATGTTGAACTGGCAACTGTTGCTCCAAACCTAATGCAAAAAGGGCATCCATATGTTAAGAGACTAAGAGAGGGAGTCATCTGTATTAGAGGGTAGAACAAGGATGCAACATGAAACAAGTGTTTTGCATCAGGCACGAACCAAATTCAAATGGTCACAATTCAAACTGCTCAAGAGACACAAGTGATCATTCGTTCTAAAGAAGACTAGTTACTCTACCACACGACATAGTCCGTAGGAGCAACAACAGTTATCATACTAGTATATAAGAATGCAATAGATGTCCAGCACCCGTTCAATTTAGATATTTCATAGCCGCTATCACCTAAGTTTCTGCACTGAAATGCTGAAAAATGGGATATCGTTAATGTTGGCAGCAATATCGTGGAGTGAGAAACAAATACTATTCTTAAAAGAGAAAACAAAGATAAGCTCGAGAGACCTCGAAAGACATTGTCGAACTAGATTTTGCCACCTGAATGAGTGAGCAAGTAGGAACTAAAATATAACAAAACATGGAGTAAAACACGGCTAAAGTACAGATCATACTCATATATTCTTTCTTCCTCGAAAACTTTGGCTTCTCCTCTTCTGATTTAGTGCAAACCGCCTTGCCATGGCAGGATTATAGAACTTCCTCATGTGCTCAGAGAGTTTGTGGATGGCTTTTAGATTACCAGTCACTGAAAGCTGCATCAGGAAGGAGTCAAACTGCCGATAAGGCAGCTTCATCCCCTTATCAACAATCTCTTCTACAAGACAACAGGCATCCTCCATCTTATTGCAATGGAAGAGCCCATCAATCATCACACTATAGGTATCGACATCTCTTTCGCACCCTCTTTTCTCCATTTCATCCCAAGTCTCACAAGCACCATCATAATCATCCATCTTAAAAAACATAGAGATCAGCATATTATACGTCTGCACACTAGGCAAACACCCCGCCTCAAACATTTGCCCATACAGCCTGAGTGCTGCATCAGCTTCTTTGTTCTTGCAAAGCACATTCAGGAAACAATTGTAAGTAACTATATCAGGAGGATAACCTTTGTCCCCCATCTCTTTCAAAAACCGGTATGCTTCATCCGTCTTGCCAGCTGTATACATTCCCTCAATCATTTCTGTGTATGTTGGGACGTCCGGAAGGCAACCACTTGCAGTCATATGCTCTATAATTTTCGAGCACTCATCCATTCTATCATTCTGAACTAGAGCTACAATCATTATAGCATAAGTCTTTGCAGTAGGAGAAGAAAGCGTCGAACCTTTGGTTCTCATGAACTCAAATAGACCAGCAGCCTCATCCACCATGCCGGCTCTACAGAATGAATCGATAGCAGTATTATAGGTAAAATTATCAGGCGGGAGACCGAGCTCGATCATTTCATCGAGAACCTTCATTGCTCTAGTCGGGTTCCTAACTCTGCACCACCCGAAGAACAATATGTTATACGTATTGCTATCTGGCTTAACCTTATTCTTCAACTTTTGAAACAAAGCTTCAGCATCCTCAACCAGACAGCTCTTGCACAAAGCATCCAGAAGCAAGTTGAAGGCATTGATCTCCGGCTGAGTCTTCACCCGAATCCTCTTCTTCTTGGCAAATTTCTGAACATGGGTGAGGTACTTCAGCGTGTAATCTCTCAAAATCTTCAACAGAATCTCGGTGGGAACACTCTTCCTGTTGCTCCTCTTCATGTAATCAAGCATATCGCACACAATCCGAAACTGCTTCACTTTGTACTTGGTGCTCGACAAAATGTCCATCATTTCGTTGTAAGCACAAGCCTCGTGCATATAACCTTCCTGTCGCCCTGCCCACGTGAAGAATCTGAATGCCGTCTTTTCATCGTAACGAAGCCTGTGAAGAACCTCGAGGACCAAATCAGTAGTGAGTTGTATACCAAGCTGATCAAGTGCTTCCTCCATGTGAAGATTCTGCTTGGGCTGTAATGAATCGGAGGTTCCCACTATAGTTTCGCACAGTCTTTCCCTCTGGAGCTCAATAAGGTCATTGCGCCTCCTAGTAGGACTAAGGGTTTGCTCTGACACAACAGCCATTTGAGTACAGTAGAAACGCCAATCATTCTTGGAGGGAAAGCTGGGCGCATGGAAATCAGTGCTTGGCAGAGTACGGGGTACTGAAGGAGAAATACTCGCGAAGATGGGATTGGAACCACAGAATGTTCGAAAAGCTGATAAAGAGTTACGGAATCTTCGCATCATGAAACCCCTAGAATTGTATTGGCGACGACGAATTCGACATGGACGAATCTTACGGCTGGTTGAACATGAGCCTACTTCCGAGAATCGGAGATGAAAGAAATGCTAAGAAAGCACACATACCAGCCGGCGGCGCAAGGCTGGAAGTCTGGAACGGCGGGTGAAAGGTGGACTGGGTACAGAGGAAGCTGAGAAGCGATGAGCGAGGAATGAGGATGCCAATTGCCAAACACTCTGCTTTCGACTCAATTACAGATTGGCAACGCAAATGATAAAGTCATTTAAAACTTAAAGCCTTAATCATCAACAATATCAGAGTGGCGCAGCGGAAGCGTGGTGGGCCCATAACCCACAGGTCCCTGGATCGAAACCAGGCTCTGATATGCTTTCTTTTTTGTTTTTGCTGTTTATTTATGCCCAGTCTTTCAACCAAAGATGCAATCATTGCAACCTGCAATCTCTACTTCTTGTTTTTGCTGTTTATTTATGCCCAGTCTTTCAACCAAAGATGCAATCATTGCAACCTGCAATCTCTACTTCTTCAGAACTCATCTTGCTAAATTATTGATGAAAGTGCTCCACAATCGTTCTCTGCTAGTGTCTACATCAACTGCAAACGACGAGACTTCTTCAAAAACGGAACAATCATATACAACTTCTGATCTTCTTTTCACTAGTAGCAAACCCATAGGCCATAGGCCACAATGAAACATATTGTGGAAAACAATGATGAGGGAAGGCAAACCTCTAATGGAAAGAAAAATGGTACTATATTATTAGCTGTTCAAGTTCTCCATGAGCTATCACAGAAAGTTGTGACAGAAGCCCTAGATTAACACACTATTACAGAAGGGCACTTTTCAGCTTCATCAGGTCGATTCTCCACAGCACAAATGGAGTATCAGTACTAACTTTTCCACAAATTTTGCTAACAACTGAGCCGTGTAGCCAAATTACAAACACCACCAGGTACTTGCTGTCGCGATTAAGGCAGCACTGCAGCAGCAGTAGTAGTACTGTCTCAAGTCAGTTTGGTCTTCTTGGATTTCTCTGCAACCTCATCCTCTGCTTCCTCCGAGCTTTCGTCCTCGTCCTCAACCAACTCATCAGGAACATCAGCAGGAACGTTATGCTTGGTGATGAATTCCTTCAGTATCCTCATGCTTTCTTCTTTCATGGCAACCAGTTCCTCGGAGATGGCAGCACCTTCCCCTTTCGTGGCTGCCACCGAATGCGTCTCGGAGCCAAGTCTGAATGTGGCCTTCACACGGAACCCAATTCCATTACCACCACCAACCTCCATTTTCTCTCGCACACTCTCTGCAAAATCAGGTGCCACATTCATTCAAACATCAGAGTTAAAAAAATTTCTTCTTCCCGCCGTTGATTTGCAATTACAAACCAATAAAACGGAATCAACTCATTCAGTTTATAGCTCTCTTGTCGATTATTGTATGCAGAAGTAATAGACAAACACACGAGGGAGAAACATTGGAAATTCAGCTATTCACATCTACGACTTTGTTTGTGTGGGGAAATAACTAATAAGGAGGAGATTTACCTCGGATGGGAAGCGGCGGAGAAGTGAGGGTTTCTAAGGCGGCGCAACCGCGCCGGAAGGAGATTGAATCGGCGGAGGAAGGAGGGAGAGCGGCGGCGGCGGCGAGGCTAGGGTGTGCGAGAGTGCAGCAGTATTGATGGAAGAAGAGGAAGGGCGGAAGGGCCTGCTTACTAGAGATCGGGTTTTGGGCTTTTTTGGTGGAAGAGACGATTGGGCCCAAACAAAAAACAAGCCCATAGTTTCCTAAACAAAATAGGTAGAATCGATTCCAGCTCGAGAAGGAAAAGGAGATTCTTACAGAAAACAATCAAACATACTTCTTACTGTTCTTCCTTTTTAGGGGATGTCCAAACCGCATATATAATCGTCTCCTCCAACCTTCTCTCTGTCACGCTCACTATTCTTTACATATGAATAGTTCATGCTGGAGCCCTGTATGTCGATTCTTGACATATAGCAGCAGCATGTCTAGGCAGGAAATGGATCTGATCACCCCTGTGTGTGACGACAGAATCACCATCCTTCCCGCAGATGTGATACATCGGATTTTGTTGTTCTTACCACTCAAAGCTGCTGCCAGAACGGCCTTGCTGTCGACACAGTGGAGGAGCCACTGGAGACGCATTCCTCAGCTCGTGTTTTTCAACGATTTCAGAATTGCTCCCAATGACGAGTCGATGATGAAAACATTAATTTTCAACATCTGCAGGGTTCTGCTGCTTCACGATGGGCCGATCGAAAAGTTCACACTTGCAGTTCCTGGATTAAGATCGGCCCCTTGCGAGAGCGAGATCGGTCAGATCATCCTCCATCTTTCTAACAGAGATGTCAAGACATTCCAGCTCGTTTTCTATGTTCGTGACAATCAGGTGTACAAGTTACATTCCGCCTTGTTCTCTTGTCATCAACTGAACGCGCTGGATCTTCGTTACTGCGAGTTCAGACAACCATCATGGTTTGTGGGTTTTGGCAAGCTCAACATTCTTCACATGTGCCAAGTAATCCTGCCCACTGATTTCTTTGAGAATTTCCTTGGCAAGTGCCCCAACCTTCAAACTCTGCTGGTGAAAGATTGTGTTGGTCCAAGTAATATTGAAGTCGTGGCTCCCCGTCTCCAAATATTCACCTTCTATGGGTATTTGCTGCAAATCTGCTTCAAGCATGCTCCACTTCTGCAGTCACTTGTAATTGATCTCCATGTTCGCGGACAAGGAGTCGAGAAGCCTGTTGTTGACACTGCAGCTTTATTTGCTTCCCTCCCAGCACTCCAACAATTTCGACTCGACTTTCAACTCCTACAGGTAAGAGTATTTTGCATATTCTTGCTTGTTAATTTTCCCACTTCGTTATCAAAGTCCCATTCATTCTTTCTGGTAATTAGTACTTTGCTCCAGGGAATCACGTGAGTGCCCCCATTAGGCTTCCTGCTCCACTTCACCGGATACAATCCGTCAACATAAGAAGTGTTGATTTGGGCAGCTGGGAGAAGGCGTTTGCTTTTGCTTGTCTGATCATGAGTTTCCCCAACTTGCTTTACCTCACAATTCAGGTTTGTTTCTGCCTATTATAGCTAGCTAAGCCTCTGATCTAATTAACTTGGTTCTTGATAAATGTTCTTGATGTATAGCTGGAAGCTAGCCAACAAAATTAAGCAGAAACGAACATCAGGAGCATGCTGCTGGCCGTGGGCGGCCATCGCCGTGGACTGGGTTTTTGTTTGCAGAACCTCAGGGTGTTGGACATTCAGAACTGTCTTGCTACGCGGAGTGAGCGAGACGTAGTGAGATGGGTGCTAGCCATCGCTCCGCTACTGGAGAGGGTTCAGCTTACATCTTTGCATACACGCACTTGGCTTCCAAGCAAGATTCGAATTCATGAAGGAAGTGCTGACGTATCCGCGTGCATCTAGGAAAGCAGTAGTGTTATATAATTGACTATGACATATGATGAATGCAGTTATATTATATAATGTTACAGTCTAATTGTTCAATCTATTACCTCTTTTTCTCGTTTATGAAGTACTAGCCATATCCCGCTCGTTTCGCTTCGCGAATAAGTGGAATACATATTTTGATGCATCTATTTGGTAAGGAAGGTAGAATATGAAATTAAGTAATATGAGGAAGAATAGATAGTTTTCTTCAACAGATACATCATACATTAAATGAAAGTCCTGAACCGTTGATACTTTTTTTGGTAGAAACTGAATAGTTGATAGTAAGTAGTATATTCTTAGTAGTAACAAAGTGAATCCCATAGCGTGATAATCTAAAGAGTCGGGTGTAATATTGCAATCACCGATAAAGAACCAAATCACTGCTCCAAACCTTAAACGTGTCTATCTTGTCCCGCAGAAGATAAAAAAAAAAATAAGGAGATCCAACCCCGAACAATCTACCAAAACAGAAACAATTTTTTAATACCCTCCTCTTCCATTCATTATATTATAGTTTTACATATAACTTCTTCCCTTCTTCTGTGTGAGAGATGAGTGGAGAAAGAAGAAAATAGAGAGGGAAGTCTAGTGAAAAATAAATTTTTAATACCCTTTTGTTCCCTTTTTATTTTTCTTTTTTATTTAGAAAACAGAAAGCGAAAGAAGAATTTTTATTTCTTCCCCTCTTCTGCGTGAGACATGAGTGGAGAAACTGATAGAATAAAAAAAAAAGAAATTAGGAAAAGAAAACAGAGAGAGAAAGAAGAACATAGAGAGAAAAAAAAAAGAACAAAGCCTAGTATTAATAGGGGGTCTAAAATAATCAGGGCTCCAATCAAAAAATATAGGAGTTTAGTAATTAGTAGGAGGACTAAATAATCAACTTTTGTAAACTCGTTGTCGACTAAAAATTCGTCAATAACGGTTGAACATTGATTCAAGCATGTAAAAACTAAAAAATGTCATCGACAAAGAACTCAACTCTCCTAAACCGGGTCGAATTAGGTCTAACACACATTGATTTAAGCGTGCAAAACTCATTGTCGAACCAAAATTTTCAAAAACCGAGTTCCACTCACTTTAATCTGGTCGAATTAGGTCGAATGGTCGTTGATTTGGGTTCAATTAGACTTCAATTGTCATAAATTGATTGATTTACAACCTTAATGGCATAAAAACTCCAACCTTAGAGTGGGTATAAAGACTCCTCAAAACTTTGGTTAGTAGGAGTGAGGAGGACTAAATAATCAAGCTTAATGGTATAATTTAATTGCTTGGAAACTTAATGGTATAAAGACTCCTCAAAGCTTTGGTTAGTAGGGGCTAATGATGACATTGCAAGAATAAATTGTTAGGCAAAAAAAGAAAAAAAGCAAATCTTAAGCCATCCACTAACAATAAATACATTATTTTATTACCATTTAATGTGACTTTAAGTAACCGTAAAAATTTTACTTGTTTTTTTAAAGAATTAATTTTCTTAAGAAGAGTTCAATTTTTATGTTTCTAATCTTCGAATAACATGCAAGAATTAATCGACCTTCTTCACCTAACCACCTCGTACCTCTAGATTAAAAGAATGATTAGAGTTTGAAATGTAATTTGTGTTGATATAATTTCGGAATAGATACATGTACAAATAGGAATGACAACAAAACCCGAACCTACGAGTACCCTACTCGACCCAACCTGATTAACGCAAGTAAAACTCGTGTTGACGGGTTTTCGAGCTGTGATCGGGTGTAAACCCAGTACACTATTTTTCGGGGTGGGTTGTGTTTGAGTTTGGAGATACCCGCCCACACTTATTTTGTTGCCCTACTCTCCCCAAACCCTACCCTAATTCTAATCTTCCCCAATCTAGCTCTCCCCAAACCCTAACCTTATTTTATTTCTTACCAAAGTAATGTTTCCTTTTTTCCAAAAGAAGTGGGAGGGATAAATTAATAATTAAAGTTGAACACACCATGTTTGTTGGTTTGCTGCTCTCTCATAAACAAAAAGGGAATGAACGAAAAACAAAGAATTGTGTGCTTTTTATTTAGTGTAATTTTGATTTGTTTGAATTTTCTATACTAGTATTTTATGCATCGATAATTTGTATGGGGAAATTGATGTTTGACTTTTATTTGATAGGAACTTGTTAAGTAAAATTTTTACCACAAAAATCCACGGGTATCCGTGAACCCACGGATACCCAGCAGATTGAGTTGGGTTTGATTTTTCCAAACCAAATGAGTTTTACCTCGATTTTTTTATTGATAAACTCATTGTTTTGAGTATAGATTTGGTAAAAACCCGACCCATTGTCATCCCTATGTTCAAATTCAGAAGCTAACTGAGATAAGAGATAATTACAAGGCTGATTTTTTCTGAATAAATTAAATCAAATAATTATTTTTTTTATTCATACATATTTCACACATCTTGGAAACCTAATCGATCACCGTAATAAACTACGATCTTTTAACGTTACTGTCCATGCAATTCCCATTTCTAGTATACGTCTCTAACACATTAAAAAAAGAACTATCCACAGAGCTCTTCCTGCACCAATTCCTCGAACCTCTCCATCGCCGGAACCGGCAGACCAACGAGCACATTGAAGCTCCCTTTCTCCGTCGGATGCCTCAAAAACACGATCGTACGTTCACTCTCCACCGGCTCGCTCAAAAACGGCTCCCCCCACCCAAAATCCGTCGCAGAGAACGACAAGCCCGACCACTGCGACACCGTGATCACGCCGTATCCATCAAACCGCCTCTCTCCCTTCGCCGCCTCGCAGTAATCGATCGCCGACCTCAAAACCTTGTCGTTCACGCTTCGAACCGCCTCCTGGATTCTCGCGACGGCGTAGGAAAGCGGCTTCTTGACCAGCCTCCCCGCCAGGCTGTGCGCCGGGGCGAACTTTATCGCGTTCCCAAAATACCCTTTCGGCAACGGCGGCGAGAATTTCCCACGTGTGTTGACCACCAAGAGGATTCTCGTCAGCTGATTTGGATTCATTTCGAGGGCGCGAGTCCTGGCTCGCCACACGAAGGCTGCGAGGGCTTCGAAGGTGGAGCAGGGTTTGATTGGACTGGTGGATTCGTTTGTTGTTTTCGATTTCGCCGTTTGGATCATTTGTGGGGTGAATTTGATGTATTTGGAGACTGTGCCGTCTTTGTTGTTGATTGTGGTGGTGGAGGGAGAGGATTTGTCTTCGATGGGGATGAATTCCGTGTGGTGGAACTCGATTTTCGGCGGGGTTCGAGCTCTGAGGATTGTCCTGTCGAGGAACGGCGGGACGGACAACGGCAGTCCTCGGGCGGTTTCGGCCCAGGAGACGATGAATTCCACGGCGGCCTGGCCGTCGACGAACACGTGGTTGAAGGAGATTCCCAGCACGAATCCTCCACACCTGAACTTGGTCACCTGAGGTTTAAGAAAAGAGAACCAAAATTAATATTGTGTTCATATATGACAAAGTTGAATTTACGTACACGGTTCAATAATTTCGATTATAACGTAAGAGTAGGTTTTAATCACTAAAAATATAGATGTCTAGTACCCTAATAAATTTGTTTTTGTCTCTTTTCTCGATAGTTTGGTTGTTTACGAAATACATCGTTTGGTTATCATGTATTGTAATTTTGTTCTCTTTGTTATCAACTTCTTGGCATATCTTGAGAAAATATAGTACAGAGAGAAAGTTATGTGACGTAGAGGAGACCAAAATTTGTGTACCTGAGCCATTAGAGGGATCTCGAATTTGTTCCTTACGCCAGGAACATCATAAAGAACCAGCTTGCCACGTGTGACCTTATCCGGCTTCGAGAAGTCCACGTCATCCAGCGCACAATCCGCCTCCGCCTCCACGAACACAACTCCCTCGCCGGTGCAGCTCACTGCGAGCCTTCCTTCCGGCGTGGCGACAAGCCGGCCGGCGAGAGGGTAGTAGTGGACGAGAACCTTGCTCAGCGCGTTCCTGATCACCTCTGCGGCGGCTGGACCGCCGGACTTGAAGCAGTAGAGCGTGCGGGTGAGGACCTTGGTCAAGTCGCCGTCGACGTTGGAGAGGAAGTAAACGCTTCCTTTGTTGTTCTCCGCCGCCGGCGAGACCAAAGTTGGCTTCCCTTTCTTGACTTGGAAGGACTTTTGTGGGTTTTGTTTCCCGTTGTGAACTTTCCCGACCATTTAGATTTATTTTTTGCTTGGGATTTTGGTTTAATTAGGAGTTGTGTTGATTGGTATTTAGTTATACGATGTAATGTTTGTTGATGACCTTGATTGTGGCCGTGGTTTGGAAATATATAGGGAAATATTACTTTGATAATGGAGATTGAAGGGTTTCAATACAATAACCACATTGTTTTCAATGCCTGTTTTGACTATTATTTTATTTTATTATCAAGCTAAGATTACTATGGTTCATAAGGTTTGACTACTAGTCTAAGTTTGGGAAGTTGCAATATTAAAGAGTGAGGAGAATCTGCAACTCATTGATTTCAAAAGAGTAGAGTATTGATAACTTGATATCTTATCGTCAGTATTATTTTTTTCTAGCTTACTCAATACATGTATATACATATGTTATAATTATATCCACAGAGTTAGATATTAAGTGAGAGGTTGTATTTCTTCTCCTAAACTATACGTAAATGCACCTCTAAATCTAAGCGTATGACGAATGACTATACAAATTTTATATACGTCATATTATAATTATCCAAGACCAAATATTCAGAGAGGTTGTATTTTTCTTCTCCTAAACTATATGCATTCGTACCTCTAAATGTATGAGTGTGATAAATGAGTATAAAAATTTAGTCCGCGTGGTATTCAATTAAATGAACTGATAGCTATAGAGCATAGACTAAACCAAAGCAAATTAATTGGAAATATAATTTGGTTTTGCTTTCCCAGCTATTGTTTATGAATGATAAATTGAGAGTTTATCTATAGTATTGGGAAAATCCAAAAATGTGAAAGACAGGAATCGGTATATTTGGACCAAAAGAGGTAAATTTATTTGCTTATGTAATGTTTTGAGTTAACGAAGGTGGGAGATAAATCAAAAGTGGTCCAACCACACACATACTAATTTACCAAGATTTTGGATGTTTGTCCTAAGCCCAAAATTAGGTTCAGGATTGCTATGTTGTAGCTCGTTGGCCAAGATAAAACCGAGGGCTTCGCCAGCGATAGCTGAAGCTATTAAGTAAAAAATGACCAACAACCATAGATCGCTTTACTCAGAGGAGATCAACTCATGATCGTTTTTGTTAGAAGCAATTTACTATTGATCGCATTTGTTATCTTCAGCGACTAACGTATAGATCGCTTTTGTCACAAGCGATTTGCTCAGAACATATGTACTTTAGGAATTTTATTAAAAACTACTGTTTTTGGAAAACAAATTTAAGAACTAGGGTAGTTAGGAAAAAAAATCCGGTAACTCATAGCATCACATAAATATAATATATCATACTACATCATAATAATTGGCTTCATACCGTCGAGACAACGTATATCCAAAACACATTAACTTACAAAAACCACCTGAGAACATTAGGTTAATGACCCGGGTGGTGCATTACTACACCTCTGTCATTTTGATTTATAAATAACCATGGCTTCTTTAGAAAGACGCTTATATTTCATTATCTCTTTCATGAACTCGATAACCTTATCAGAGCTTAACTTACGCAAAGGCGGAATGTGAATCCTCTTGAGCACTGGAGCGGTGGCTAACACGAACTTCACGAGGTCGAGCTCGACCTGCATACCAAGGCATTCCTCAATTCTGAACACTCTAAGCTTCTTCAGAAAACAATCACCGGATCCATGGCGGCACTCCGCTTCCAACAGGCTTCCTATGCTTGTCGTCGCATCACTATTTGCGGCGGGCTGATTTGGCTTGCTTCTGTGCAGCTACACGAGCATTTGTCATGTACTCAAGTTAGGCCAAAGACCATGATTGCCCATATATATATATAACTTCTCAGTAGCCGGCAACAGAAACTAACCTTAATTGTTAGCTCACGCAAGTTGGGGGAACTGATGATCAGACAAACAAAAAAATGCGCTGTCTCCAAGCTTCTAAAGTCAAGATCCCAGGTATGGAGGCGTTTTAACCGGTGAAGAGGAGTAGGAAGCCTACTGGGGACATCACTAACACCTACAGCAATGTTCTAATTCAGAGACAAACCCAAATGAGTACCAGAAAGAAACCGAAATAATGGGGAAAAGGTTATATAAGTGGGAGAACAGACAAACAAACTTACTTGTGGGAGTCCAAAGTCGACATGAAATTCTTTGAGTGCTGGGAGAGAAGCAAGCAAAGCTACCATATCTGCAGTCTTCTCGAAGTTCCAGCATAGTCTAAGACTAACTAAAAGAGGAGTACACTTGAAGCATATTTTCTGTGGATCCCTGTACGAGAAACGGAACCATACCAGACGTGGAGCCACGAGTTCAAGATTACTCGGACCATCACAATCCGTAACCCTCAACCTTTTAAGCATCGGGCACTTGAGAAGGAAATTCTCACAGAAATCAGAGGGCAGAGTTACACTCATCAATACGAGAGACCTAAGCTTACCAAACCCCACAAACCATGATGGTTGTCTAAGTTCGCAATGCCTAAGTCTCAGCATGTTCAGTTGAAGACAAGAAAACAAGGAAGAATGTAACTTGTACTTCTGACCATCACCAGCAGCACAGGGAAGCGCGAACTCCTCGATATGTCTTTGAGAAAGATAGAGAATGATTTCATCAATCGCATTCCCGTAGCATGACCTTAATCCGGGGAACGAAATCACAAACTTCTTTATTGGACCATCACGGAGCAGCAGAGCTTTGAAAATGTTGAACATTGTCTTGTCCATCATGGAAGTTGATGGAGATCTACCCGGTCCAACGGGGAAGCTACCATCAAACACAAGTTCGGGGATACTTCTCCATTGATGCCTCCACTTTGTTGACAATGTACTAGTTTTGGCAGCGTCTTTGATGGGTAACAACTGTTAGCGGATTATAGGCCCATGTTTTAAACGTTGTACAACCCATTTATTTTTGTGTCCATGAAGCCCATGCAGGGGCTACTGTGTACGTGATGAGAGTAGCGCCCTAGGGTTTTATTTTTCCTCTTGCTGGTTCTGGTTGTATATAGAGAGAAAGACGAGCTGTGCTAGAGATACAGAAAACACACAACAATAAGATCATAGTCCTGGTTCTCCAGGGATACCACGTAAATTCGGTGTCTGTTTCTTGATTTCATTTCCGTTCTCGTTCAGTTCGTCAAACATCAAATCCGGATAATCTATCATGGTATCAGAGCCACCTTCGTCAATGGAGTACGATAGACCTTCTGTTCGGCTTACCTCCACAAATTTCGCTCTCTGGGAATTCCAATTCCGTGTATTTGTTGAAGGGCGTGGTCTCCTGAGTTTCCTCGACGGAACTTGTCCACGTCCACTACCTACAGCCGCCATTCAAGAACAAGCTCAATGGAACCAAAGTGATGCACGCGTCCGCCACTGGTTGCTGGGATCGGTCGATCCGTCCACATGTCTAAGCCTGCGCCTCTTTCCAACAGCTCATGCGATGTGGCAACATCTGGCGTCAACGTATTCCACCGTCAATGTAGCGAGACAGTTCGAGATTCAAACGGCCTTGGCTCGGCTGGAGCAAGGAGACCGATCGATCACCGAGTACTACAATGCCGCGACGGAGCTGTGGACTGAACAGGATATTCTCACCGCCGCGTTGCACCCTCAACCTGCTTCTGCCGATGCTGTCAAGGAGAGGCAGCAAAATCGTCTTCTCAATTTTCTCATGCGCCTGAGACCCGAGTTCGAGGCAGCTCGCTCCACCTTGCTGAACAGGGATGAGCTACGTTTTGAGGGGCTGCTGTCTCATTTGGTCCGCCAAGAAACCAGGATTCGCACCCAGGCAAACATTGATGTGCGTCCTAGTGCTGGAGAAACTGTGTTCGCTGTGGCAGGACAAGAATCGGCCTATTCGGTAAACCGTCCCTCGTTCCATAACAAACCTATCCCTAATGATATTGAATGCCATTTTTGTCATGAGCGAGGGCATCCTAAGAAACATTGTAGGCAATGGAATGTCTGTGTTTATTGCAAAAGAGCTGGGCATATAATACTTGAATGCCGAACTCGGCAGAGGAATGAAGCACGAGCTGCAGGGGGAGGATTTGATAATTCCTCACGGCCAGATCGCGCCACTGGTGGGCCAGCTGGAAGGCCTTTCAATGCTCGCTCATCTCGTCCACCTACCAGCGACCGAACAGCACATGCAACGACACTTGCACCTGGGAATGGGCAACTCGATCTCGGCAGCTCTAGTGGAGGAAATTTCTCGGCAGCAGACGTTGAGAACATGGTAAATGCTGCCTTACAAAGATCATTACCCACAGCAATTAGTGCTGCCTTTGCTACACTAAATAATTCAGGTAATTCTTCTCCCTGGTTGCTCGACTCCGCTTGTTTTAATCATATGACGAATGCATCTCAAAATTTGAGCAACATCACTCCTGTTAAAGACATGTCATTGAGTGTAGCAAATGGTGGGAAATTGAATGTTCAAGGGGTAGGATTGATGCATAAACAGAATATGACTCTGCCTAGTACATTGCACGTTCCTGGTTTAGTTCCAAATTTGGTGTCCGTAGGACAACTTACTGAACAGGGTTGCTCTGTTGTGTTTGCACCGTCGGGATGTGTTATACAGGATTTGAAGACAGGGAGGCAGATCGGAAGGGGGAGTAAGCAGGGAAGAGTTTTTCATCTAGACGAGCTACGTGGGAGTTCCGTGTCATCTTCAGTTTCTGGGTCATGTGTCAGTAGTCCTTCTTTGGATTCTTTGTCGTTGTCAAAACCAGTTTCTTGTAATTCGGCTGGGTCTTTTTCGTTTTCAACATTGTCAAATAATGCCTGGGATCTTTGGCACTCTAGATTAGGTCATCCTCATTCTGGTCGTCTAGAGATGATGTTTTGACAATCTTTGCTTGGTAAAAATCATGTTAATCTTTCTGCTTCTCATTCCTGCACTAGTTGTGTTGAAGCTAAAACGGTTAACATTTCTTATCCCTCAAGTACAACCATAATCACTGATCCGTTCCATATCATTCATACCGATCTCTGGGGACCCTCTCCTACTATATCTCGTCATGGTTTTAGATATTTCGCTCTTTTCATTGATCATGCTACTCGATTTACTTGGGTTTATTTTCTCCGTCTTAAATCCGACCTCAAATCTGTAGCTACTGATTTTTTGAAAATGATTCAAACTCAGTTTGATCGTCCGGTCAAAATTGTTCGTTCTGATCCTGGCGGTGAATTTAGTTCAGCTCCGCTGTATGAAGTTTATCGGTCTCTTGGTGTTCTGATTCAGCAATCCTGTCCCGGTGTCTCCCAGCAGAACGGTCTAGTAGAACGGAAAAATCGTCATGTTATGGACTTAACTCGTGCTCTGTTATTGGCATCTCACGTTCCTGATCGGTTTTGGCCAGAGGCAGTTGCCACTGCAGTTCGTCTCATAAATTATCAAATCACTCCAGTTCTACAAAACAGAAGCCCTTTTTTTGCTCTCTACTCCCGTCATCCTGACTATTCTCGCCTTCGAGTGTTCGGGTGTTTGTGCTTTGTTCTTCTTCCTAAGCGCGAACGTACTAAGTTAACTTCTAAAACAGCTCGGTGTGTCTTCTTGGGGTATAGTGACGTACACAAAGGGTACTTGTGTTATGATCCTCTTGTTCAACGTGTTCGAATTGCCAGTACTGTCATATTCTTTGAAAATGTCATGTTTTACTCTCCTGAGTCCTCCTCGTCTAATTTCCTTCCTGCCAATATTCCTCCTCCCACGTTTGCTGATGAAATAGATGATGATTTTCATCCTGCTGTGGATCCACCCGATCCCCCTTCTCCAGGTCTGTCTCCCTCGCCATCAGCAAACAACTCGACTTCAACTACTGCCTCGCCATCAACTGCTGCCTCGCCATCAACAAATGCGACTTCCCCAACGCCCAGCACTCTCGGCTCCAGCACTCAATCTTCGCCCAGCTCACATACTTCTGCCGACTCTAGTGCATCTTCAAGCGGCTCCAATTTGTCTTCCCCTGCTACACCACCAGCTCCACGTCGTTCCGAGCGTGTCACTAAGGGTGTTCCCCCACCAAAGTTTAGTGATTACCTAGCTTATGGAGTGGAGTCTATAGCTATTCCGACTCGCTATCGCCAGGCCAAGGGTCATCCTTTGTGGGAAGCGGCTATGCGTCGAGAGTTGGATGCGCTTCATGCAAGTAATACGTGGACTCTAGTTCCTCGTCCATCTTCTTCTACGTCGGTGGTTGGCTGTCGTTGGGTTTATACTGTCAAAATGAAACCGGATGGTACAGTGGATCGGTATAAAGCTCGGCTAGTAGCTCAGGGATTTACGCAGGAATATGGCATAGACTACAGTGAGACATTCGCACCAGTTGCTAAGATGGCTACAGTTCGTACCTTGCTGTCTGTTGCTTCTCTTCGTCAGTGGCCCCTATATCAGATGGACGTCAAAAACGCCTTTCTTCATGGCGACTTAGATGAAGTAATTTACATGGAGCCACCTCCTGGGTATTCTGCTTCTCCTGATCAAGTTTGTCGGCTTAATCGATCCTTGTACGGTCTCAAACAAGCCCCCCGGGCTTGGTTTGAGAAATTTCACACCACTATCTCTTCCTTGGGATTCCAGCAGAGTCGCAACGATCCATCTCTGTTTACTCGTACTACTGCAGCTGGTGTAGTTGCTCTACTCTTGTATGTTGATGACATGGTGATAACAGGATCAGATCGTGATGGTATTCAGCGGCTTAAGGAGGGTCTCCATGCTTCTTTTAATCTGAAGGATCTAGGGGAGTTATCTTATTTTTTGGGTCTGGAAGTTAATCGTGATTCACGTGGAATTTTACTTTGCCAGCATAAGTATATTACTGATTTGTTGGATGATCATCAGTTCACAGACTGCAGGCCTGTCTCTACACCTATGGAGCTAAATCTACGCCTTGGACGTGATTCCGGCACGTTATTACCAGACAGTAAGGTTTATCGGAGCATTGTTGGGAGTCTTATTTATCTGTCAGCTACCAGACCTGATATCTCTTATGCAGTTCAGGTTGTCAGCCAATTTATGGATACTCCTCGCACTGATCATTTGGCAGCAGTTCATCGGATTTTGCGTTATCTGCAAGGAACACGTGATGTCGGTATCTTCTTTCCCTCGACTGGTGATTTTTGTCTTCGTGCATATTCAGATTCAGACTTTGCTGGATGTGTGGATACACGGCGCTCCACCTCTGGCTGGTGTGTTCAGTTTGGTAAGTCCTTTATATCCTGGCGTTGCAAGAAACATGATAAGGTCTCAAAGTCGTCTACAGAGGCTGAGTATCGTTCCATGTCCGAGGTCTGTTCTGAACTTATATGGCTCCAGCGTCTTCTCCAGGATTTTGATGTGACATGTTCACTTCCTCTCAGTCTATTTGTGGACAACACTAGTGCTATCCGTATCGCGGTTAATCCTGTGCTTCACGATCGTACGAAGCACATCGAGGTACATGTTCACTATGTTCGAGATTTGGTTAATGCTGGGATTGTTTCTCTTCATCATGTCCGGACAGAGGATCAAATTGCTGATCTTTTTACGAAGACCTTCACCACTAGTCGTCACTGGTACCTGTCGAGCAAATTGCTGCTTTCCGACCAGCATCAATTTGGGGGAGGCTGTTAGCGGATTATAGGCCCATGTTTTAAACGTTGTACAGCCCATTTATTTTTGTGTCCATGAAGCCCATGCAGGGGCTACTGTGTACGTGATGAGAGTAGCGCCCTAGGGTTTTATTTTTCCTCTTGCTGGTTCTGGTTGTATATAGAGAGAAAGACGAGCTGTGCTAGAGATACAGAAAACACACAACAATAAGATCATAGCTCGAAGGGTTTTCACTCTTCCGTGGATTAGTCCTGGTTCTCCAGGGGTACCACGTAAATCCGATGTCTGTTTCTTGATTTCATTTCCGTTCTCGTTCAGTTCGTCAAACATCAAATCCGGATAATCTATCAACAACACCAGAATCCGATTTAGCACGTCCACGGGAAGGTTGGTAATTCTATCGGCTCTCGTTTCACGCACCCGCGCCATCCTTTCACTGCCTATATATATTCTTAACAAAAATGCAAACAATTAACTCCTAACCAACTGGTGATACCATGAACTATCGACATCCCTAGCTTCTCAATTCTGAGGGTAGTACATAAGAGTGGGAAATTACCTTTTCTACAAAGGGTTATCTGCAAAACCCGAAAGGTTGAAACTTGAAACCGCCAACGCCCTGAACCTTTTGCCGGTGTTTCTTTACTGTTGATTAGCTAGGGCGTGAGCTAGAACGGGTTGGAGGAAGACGTCTCGGCTATCGATATTCGCGTTGATGCAACCTTGCTTTCTCCCGCCATCTGCAGAGTAGGGATTGCGATGTTGACGAAGAACGGAGGAAAGGAGAGGGGAAGGGGGGAGGACTAAAAGTCGATGGTTTGGAGCTTGGATGATGTTCTGGGCCTGTGTTGGGGGATGTTACAGGCCTGAGCCCATTTTAATCAATACAGATCAAAGGGGAAATATGGGCTAGATACCTTGCTTGGGTTCTTCTAGTGGGCCGTTCTCAGTCCAGTGGTACTGGTAATGTCTAATATCTTTCTTACTGTATGGGCCGATCTCAGTCATTGGGAGCGCATCGGCCTCCGGCGTCGAATCCATCATCTTCTCCGGCCGCCAGACCAGTCTCCATATATCCAACGACGACCCTACCAGCTCCGGCTGCCAATCATCCAATCGGATCGGATTCCGAATCCGGCGAAGTGGGCTATTGTCGGAAATTGTAAATAAGTTTTTTTTAATCTTCAATGGGTGGATTGCCGAGGGAGAGAATGGGGAAGAAATTCGAGTCACTTGCGAGGTCTCATAATTTCCCTTCTCTTTGGCGCCTCCATCGTCCATAATATCTTCAAGCCTGAACTTGTATCCACTCCCTCCCTAATTACTTTTAAGTACTAACCTTTGCCTTTAGTACGTATGTGCTTCCAAGCCTGTTTGATGAAATTCATGAGACTGAGGCTTTCATGATTTTGCATGGAGACAGAGTTTGCCTCAAGTGGAAAAGGAATCGACTTTTCTCTCCAGGTGCACCTGAACTGGAAAAAACTTTCTATCTATGTTTACTTGTTAGATTCTGTCTTCAATCTTCCCCTACACTGCTGACTCGTCTCTGCCCGGTTTCTGGTTTAGACTATAGGACTAGGAGGATGATTTTGCTGATGAAAGTAGTCAGCTTCCTTTTAGACGCAAACCACTTTGGAGCTTTGAAGCCAATGAATGTGCGTTGTTTTTGCACGGGACGTTTGCTCCAGCAAGTTGCTGGCTCCTTTGACTATGACAAACTTTTGCAACGTTGCATCCTGCGAGGAGCTAGAAAGCATGGCCTTTTGGCTCACTCTCACATGATAACAAGTGGGTTTGTCTCAAATCCTCATTTAAACACCAAATTAATCATCTTCTATGCAAAGATTGGTGATGCCAGAGCTGGTCGGGAAGTGTTTGATAGAATGACTGTAAGGAATGTTGTGTGCTGGACAGCTCAGATTTCAGGTTATGGGAAAAATGAGTGTTATGAAGATGCTCTGCTGCTGTTTTCAGAAATGCATAGAGTGGGGGTCAAGGCCAATCAGTTTACTTATGCTAGCGTGTTAAGGGCGTCTTCTCGTTTGCAATGTTTCAAGAGAGGGTTGCAAATACATAGTTGTGTACAGAAGAGTAGGTTTGTCAGCAATTTGTTTGTGCAAAGTGCATTGATTGATTTGCATTCTAAGTGTGGAAGGATGGAAGATGCTTGTTATTTGTTCGAGACAATGCTTGACAGAGATTTGGTTTCTTGGAATGCAATGATTGGTGGATATGCTGTTCAGGGTCTCGGTGATGATTCTTTTCGACTGTTTCGTGCCATGATGGCAGAAGGTATGAATGCTATATTTGCCAGTGATTTTGTTGCAATCGTGCTGCTTACTATTTTATATAAATGTATGGCCTTCCACTCCAGTCAGCTGGTTTTTGCTTAGTGTGTGTAGCCAAATCTAACCTATTATACTGACTTGTCATTCAATAGGTTTGCTACCTGATTGCTTCACTTTGGGGAGTCTTTTTAAGGTTTCTGGGAGAACTAGTGATTTCCTCAAAGTCAGTCAGGTACATGGATTCGTTGAGAAACTAGGTTTTGAAGGACACCTTGATTTGATTGGATCAATTATCGATGCCTATGCAAGATGTGGGGGTCTAGAGAGTGCTAATTGCTTGTACAAGACTATGGAAGTGAAAGATTTAACATCTTGTACTGCGTTGATGAATGGATTCGCTCGAAACAACTATAGAACAGAGGCTATGACTCTATTCAAAGAGATGTGTAGGATGCAGCATATGAAAATGGATGACGTCATGCTATGCTCGGTGCTCAATATGTGCGCTAATGCAGCATCATTAACAATAGGTAGACAGCTTCATGCCTTTGCTATTAAAAATAAACCCAGTTATGATGTGGCTGTAGGAAATTCTCTCATTGATATGTATGCAAAGTCGGGAGAAATTGAAGATGCGGACCGTGCTTTTGGTGAGATGAAGGAGAAAAATGTCATTTCATGGACATCTCTGATTAGTGGGTATGGAAAACATGGATATGGAAGCAAGGCAATTTCATTGTGCAAGGAGATGGAAGATGAAGGTTTAGCGCCAAACGACATTACTTTTTTGTCTGGTCTCTTTGCTTGCAGTCATTCTGGATTAAATAAGGAAGCATCAGAATTCTTTAATAGTATGATCAACAGACACAATATCCTACCGCGAGCTGAGCACTACTCTTGTATGGTTGATCTCTTTGCCCGTGTAGGGCAGTTGGAAGAAGCATACAGTATAATTTGTAGGAACAATATTACACCGAATTCCTCATTGTGGGGTGCCATTCTCGGGGGATGCTTATCATATGGTAACGTCGTCCTTGCTGAGACTGCAGCAATGCATCTCATCAATCTGAATCCTGACATTTCAGTCAATTATACAGTTTTGGGGAATATATATGCTACAGCTGGCCTATGGCACAAGAATTGCAAGATCAGAAACTTGATGACCCATAGAAAGTTGAAGAAGACTCCAGGCTACAGCAGTGTAGATTCTCCAAGGAGCATTTACCTTACATAACCAAGTTGAGGAGGCAAGCCTGGATGCTGCTGTCAAAACCTGTTTGTTACTCTTGTGGAAATAATAAGTAAGCCAGTTAGATACAAGTATTCTTGATCATGTGATATACACTAAGTCTAGTCTAATACATTATTTCTTTCTTATGTGTACATTTTACTGAGGTCCCTTGCGTGTATTGTTCTTTTATTTGTCTTCTTTGTTTGAAGGTTCTTGTATGTTGAACGGGCAACTTCCACGGAAATAAAGACGAGATTTCAGAAATGTGTTCCGCAAAGTGGGAATGCCATATTTTTGTGGTGGTTAACATCTTGCTTGATTTCCCAAGTTAGTTCTTATGTTATTCAAAGAACTATAAGTTTCTCGAGCTGAGTCAGTGGCAGGCTGAAGCATCGGGGGTTAATTGTTGGCATCAGGTGGAGGAGCTCCTTGGGCTCCAGGGTGACGTCAGTGGAGGATGCAGGGTGCCTATGGATGGGGTGATGCTTGATATGCTTTGGTGGTCGGGTGGGTGAGATGTTCTAGAAAGCGTCTCATTAAGGAGCTCTCACATGACCTCAATCAACTATATAGCCAAAGCTGCAATGGCCCCCGAGGATGCGATCGGCACCAGGACCAAATTTTTTGGCCAAGCACCCTGTGGTTGTTTGGCCATCAGGTCTGGTCTTCAGGTACATATGGGTTACTGAGAATTATATGCAGCATGTAAAGTGGAAGCTCTTCAACCGGATTTCAGCTCCGCTTTAGAGGTTCTCGCCACTCAGGTAATCTAATTTCTAGGAGCAATCATTTACTTTTCAGTCAGATGTTTGAATGAAGCTTATTTGACTTTGATATGTCCACTTGTATTGAGCTGATTGATGTTAAATGTAATGGCCCTCAAAGATGCTATGCTAGAAGTGTGTTCACAATAGGTGAAATAATGACATTTGCCTGCATCTCTAGACGTGAGTAAAGATGAAGGAGTTGACATATTCTAAAGTCTAAACCAGAAGTAAGTTCTTTTATCCTGTTTAACTACTAATCTTTATCAATCTAAATAAAAGTGTCTAAAGAAATGCTTTCAGTCATCTTTAATTCGTTGAAATCTCAACTTGGGGAGCATATGGTCATCGTGTATGCTCACTCTATTTGAACAGATGAATCCTTAAAGACTTTATTATATACATTAGGCCGGTGTTCAGCATATTCTATGATTTTTATTTAGGTGTAAATGTTGTTTTTTTAGTGGAATTGAACGTAAACAAAGTGGATCGGAGATTTGCTGATCTAATTTAGGGGTTGTTAGAAGAATGAATTTTATGTCCGTGAATCTCAAACTCTCAACTGCTGATGTTGTGTGGGATTTACTAACATATAGGCTAATGTCGGGATTCTGTGTTATTCTCCACTGTACATAAGTTTCGTGACTTTTACTTTTTAATATCCTGGATTATTATTTACCTATTTCTTGACCTTTCTGCACATTTATCTCACACTTCAACTCATCTTTTTTCCTTCAGGTTCTTCAGTAACTAATTCTTGTCTTTGCTTCCTACGTTTCCTGTAACAAAGGCTTTAGGTGCGTGTTACGGCTAAGTGCTTTAATTTTATGTTTGTTAAATTGAGATATCAAGAGAAGAAATATGATGGTGATACAATGCTATTTTGGGGTCGTTTGCTTCAAGGATTTTATAACGATGGTTTTGTCATGGATTTGCTAATTAAAAACCTTGGGATGTATTAGAGATTTTGGGCATTATGGATTTGAGGAAATCCTTTGTTTGTTGAGCTATTTTTATCATGGATTTGATGGTTTTTCAACTTGTCTCCAAATCCCAGGGTATGAGGTGGGATTTATAAAACCGTGGAGCCCATGGATTTGGAGCAAAAAAAAAAAAACCCAAATCCGTGGGGCCCACAGATTTATCTAAACATTTTTTGACAAAGCAAACAACGAGATTGTGTGTAAATCCATGATGGTTGATTTTTTGGTACCAAATCCATGATGCAAATCCTTGAAGCAAACGACCCTATCATCTTTTCTTTGGTACTCATTATCTGAAAGATGCATGGAGAAGCCAAAAATCTACTTACATTTTACTTTCTACAGTATGGCAATGAAATATAACTAGATCTGTAAGCTTGGTTAGGATTGATCTTTTTCCAACAATAGCATGTTCAGATTATCACTCCCAAGTTTGGTTGGTATGTTGTGATGTCTATAGTGTTTAGGCATTATTGTTTTATGTTCATGCACCGTAGAGAATGTTTAGGCCTCATCTCTGTCTCGCAGAAAGGGTCTCATGACGCAATGTGGAATATTGTTGCAGGATGCATTGGGTCGTCGTGGATAGTGGGGAGGGTATGAAACTATGAATGATCTATACATGATTGACATATTGGCGTTGCGATCAGTTGCGATCAATTGCTTGGCGTGGTACATTGGGGTTGTGGATTGGTGCAGATACTCGGCAACGATCAACCCGCCATTGAGAAGGCGAAGAGTTGGGATGCACAAGCTGGTGCTGTCTTGAACTTTGTGATTTCTCAGCAATTTGAGCTACTTGGATGAGTTCGATTTCACTAAACCAGTTATAGGTGGACAGCTCCTCCGTGCTATTGATGAAGAAAAAGACTAGGACTGAATTGAGTCATGATGAGGTATTCCCACAGAACTTGTTTGCCTGTCGACAGTGAGCAAACGCAGCTCAAAGACACGATCTCAGATAGGCAGATGCTTGTATATAACGGTATCCTACGAACCAATGGAAGCAGCCGGTGCAGCTAGTTTGTTGATTAGTCATCAGAAAATACCAACCATGAACCAACCAACCAAATCATGGTTCTGCATTACTACGACCCGTGTCAAAACTGCATCTAAAGTGAAGAGTAATTGCGCAATGAAATGATGGGAGGATTCCACTATGGTCTCAGCTTTTTCTCCCAGACGTACAACCACCCACCCCACTAGCCAGGCCAGCCATCCCCCTGTTCTTGCGTTCATACATGGTGGTACATTAGTGACAAGTGAACTCTTCTTTAAATAAGCTATAGGTGGATTTGGATTCGTAAATTTATGGTATTTGTTGAATGACATGATTATATATATTTGACTATTCGCAAAAATAATATTTAGTTCAGTGCATTTTATATCGAAAAATTGTGTCAGAACAGCGAAAAAGGACATGTGGCGTGAGTCTCATTTTTATAGAGTTTCCAAATACTATTATTGTATGTGTATAATTGCACTCAAATACATCAAAAAGTGTCCACGAAAATCAATGTATTGGTTCAACTGCATGCAATTGTAAATTTTACCCTACCAACATTCAACCAACCCGACTTCAAACTTCAAAAGCCAAATAGCTACTCTTAAGGAACTCATAAACGCTACAAGAGCTCCAGGATCTCTCCAAAGCAATACGAAATCACTCAAATATGGTAAGCCTGCGTGGGTGAAATGATGGTGATGTCGGTAATCTATACCAAAAGACTAATTAATTAGCAGGAACCATAATTGCTGTTACGAGTTCACACTTCAGTGAGTGATCCTTCCACTACTATATATATAATACACCCACCCCTCCCAACTAGCTAAGCACACACAGTTCTGCACTACTACTACTCCATTACCTAATCTCTTTCACTTCAGAATACCACACACCATTCAAATTACTGCTTACTTACATACTAATCATGGCCGCCGCTAGAGCGAATTGGCTTGCTGCCGCTGCCATACTCTCCCTTCTGTTCCTTTCCAACGCTGACACAATGATCAATGTTGAAGCGGCGGGACGTCGAGGTGGTGGCAGAGGCGGCAGTGCCTGCGGGAAGACACCAATAGGGGCTGCAGCGGCGAGCCTGAGCCCTTGCTTGAGCGCTGCTCGGAACGCCAGGGCAGCTGTGCCGCCGGCCTGCTGCTCCAAAGTCGGCGGGCTGATCAAGGCGGCTCCCAAGTGCCTTTGCGCCGTGCTGCTGTCCCCCTTGGCCAAGCAGGCTGGAATCAATCCTGGGGTCGCCATCACCATCCCCAAACGCTGCAACATTCGCAACCGCCCGGCTGGGAAGAAGTGTGGAGGTAATAATGTTAAGCTATTGGTGTGACAAATTTGTTAAAAATCAAAGCTTGACGCGGCGGACTGATTAACATTGTGACCATTTCTGTACAGGCTTCACCCTTCCATGAGCTAGCACCGCTGGGTTCCCGGGGCTGCCTTGCGTGGGAAGTAATCGCAGTTCCATTATTTCAGAACTGCCGCAGGCATTGCTAGTTGCTTGCTGTAGAAGGAAAAAGAGTGTCAAATAAAGGGTTGCCCTTGTATTATGAGCCAATGTTTAGTATTTATTTCCCTATTTTCTGAGTTATCTTATCCACCATCTGCCTGTTAAACCAATCTTTGGTCTCTGTATCTCCTTAGTTATGTCAGCTAATAATGATGATCTTCGTTAATCTCTGACAACATTACAGAAAAATCTTCCATTTATATCATCACAGGCGCCACTATACAATCATTTATGTATCAGTGTACACTATAACATGCTAGCTACTGAGCTACAACAGGGATTCTGAAGTGAAAAGGATACTAAATCAAAAGGGTATACTCTCTCAAGTAGCTTGAAAGCTCTCCTTCAACCATTTTGACTGCGACTCGAGCCCAGCGTCTCTCAATGCATTCAAAGCCGTTGCATAAAGCCTCGCATCCAATCCCGTCCCAACTGACTCCATGTCTCTCAACAGCTTCACCATCTCCTCTATCAAACTCATCTTTGAGAATACCCCCACCATTATCCCTCCCATCTTCCTATCCACGCCATCGCCATTCATCACCGTCCTGTACTCTTCGAAATACTCAACACACTTGTCGAAGTCCTTTGCCTTGTTGTATGCGCTCACGAGGCTAGTGTAGCTCACCTTGTCGGGCCCGATTCCCTTCCTCTTGATCTCGTTCCATATCTTCTCCACTTGCTTCACATTCATCGCCCTACCGTGCATCTCAAGCAAGCAATTGTACACCCATATGTTGGGCTTGCACTTCCTCTCCTTCATTTCCCCCAACAGCCGCATTGCATCCGTAACTCTACCCATCTTCCCGTACATCGCGATGACGGTGGAGTACGCCACAAGGCAACTGTCGAAACCCTTCTCGCGCATCTCTGCAAACACCTTCTCTGCTGTGCGATAGTTTGCCACACGGTAGTATGCGTTGATCGCTGATGCATAGGTCACCTGTCCTGGCTCATGCCCTTTGGTTATCATCTCCTCGTACACTTTGATTGCAGCAGAAAAGCCTCTACTTTTAGCGAAACCGTTCAGCACCGTACAGAACACACAATCGGTAACCTTGACGTTTGCATCGTGGCTCATGGCACTGACAACATCGAGAGTCTTTTCCACCTGACCTCGCTCGATATACATCGAGATGAGCTTCGAGAATGCCTCTGGGTCTTGCAATGTGTTCTTCTCTATCGCTTCGTGAAATAGCTCTTCCGCTTCTCGAGCTTGATTGGAGTCAGCAAATGACCAGATTAACGATGAGTAGATTTTGGGATCCTCGACAAGCAAACCATCTTCCATGTTATTCCTTCTCAAGTAACCCAGAGCTTCAGAAGCTCTACCTGATTTGGCTAGTGATTCAGTCAATACTCTGTACATTTTGGTCAGCACTTCTAGTTTTGGGTCAAGCTCTTCAGATTCAAACTCGTCAAACAGGGCAACTACTTTTTCTGCATTGCCCAATTTCTGGTGTGCCTTCATTGCCTGGTAATAGCAGCCAGAACTCAAACCGATTCCAGAAGATTTCATTTTACCATGCAATCGAATCACACTGCCGTACATATGCAACTTGTTGTAACCTTTCATAGCGGAATTGAAAGCTAAAACAGAGACTTTAGGGTGGGATTGGAAAATCGCGAGGAATCGATCAGAAATTCTGAATTTCCTAGCTCGGATGCAATTCTCGACCAATGTAGAGCAAGTGTAAGCGTCGGGGAGAGTATCGTACCTCCTGAAATCGTCTGAAAGCAGCAGAAGCAAACGATCCCAGTTCTTGGTTCGAACCAGATACTTCACCAGAAGCTTGACGACGGACTTCTCTGGCTTGAACTGTGGGGTTTCCTTGGCTTTCCTGTAGTGGTCACAAGCCAAGGCTTCGGTTCTGGGATCGTGAAGCAACCCACGAAGGAATGCGTTGAGATTCTCTGCATCTGAAGCCGGGTAGGGCTGCTGCTGGTGGTTGTAGTCTCTTTGAAGCCGGAAGTGGCTGCTACGGAGATTGGGGGGTGCTTCTTCTACTTCTTCTTTCTCTTCTGCGGCCAGCACTGGAGCAGATGGGAAGCAGATAGATTTGATATGGAAATTGGAGTTTGGGCGGAAAGAGAAGCTGTTGGGTTTGGTGCACGGTGGGAAGCTTTTGGGTTTGGTGGAGCACGTGATGTGCGAAGGTGAAGATGAAGAAGAAGCGACCAGTGACCAGTCAGGAGAACAGGGGATCGCCATTGAAAAGGGGACTGAAGGTTGGTGGGGAGAGATGATTTGAGAAGAACCAGAAGGAAGAGCGAAGAATAAAGAGGAATGGAATGGCGGGGAAATTGGGTGGGCGTGGGGAATTCTGAATCATGAGTTGTTAGCTTCGATTCTTAGTTTCTGGGTTTGAAGTTTTTCGGATAGTGACAGAGTCAAGAGGGAGGGACGGTTGGGGATTAAGTGGTGGAGAAAGCTTTGAGGGAGCAGAAATCCGTGATGGAAATGGATTTTGGGAAGGCTATTGGATTCTGTGAACCACTCAGACAGTGCCACGTGGAGAGTTGGGAGACGTAGGGATATATTCTGCCATCAAATGTGCCACGTCTGTCAATTCAAAATATAGAGCCAAAATTGACAAACCATTTTAACCATGCACACAAATTCATCAAAATATCAACAGAAAACTATGCATTCAATTTCATCCCGTCAATTACACTCAACTCTATCACAATTCATACAGGCTCAGGGAGAGCACTGAATTTTCTCCATCAAGATTCAAGTACAAATGACACCATACTATGCACAAGGAAAAAGCAGTTACCTACAAACAATCTATTCCTATTCCAAGTTAACGCTTCTCCACAAGAAATCAGCTCAAAGCTCTTTTTCTTTCTCTGTTCCCCTCATCCACCATCAGAAAGGATTACTCTGGAGTGTAAAGGGTGGACGAAAACATGAAGAACCCACTCACCTGTGTTTTGGATTTCTTTTCAGATCAGCAATCTGCCACAGAAAGAACCAAAAATAGTGTCTCCATGATCCAGCCTCATTTCTTCTCTTTTCCTCACCAGCTGAATAAACAGCTAAGCCCATTACCACCTTGGATACTAGATGCATTCTCCTCGGTCGAGTCTGTCTCACTGTCAGTGCCAGATGCATCTTCGTCTGAACTGCAATCGCTTGGAAGGAGTTGAATCCGGTCAGCATTGTTGATCAGCCAACTGGCCACTTCAGGAGATGATGCCCATTCTCTCATTGCTTCCTTCGTTGACTCCCGTGTGAACTCATCCCATTCTTCCTTGGTGAACTTCTTCCTCTTTGCTGTTTTATGGAAGGTCGAGTAATAATCCTGGTCCATCACAGTGCTGTCATGCCGCACAGGAGCAGCAGATGATGATTTCACCAAACCTGTAAAAAAAATAAAAAACAGGAAAGATTACTTGAAAACAGGAAAAATTACTTGAAAACAACTATGCACACATTGGTTCCATGGTGCAAGTAGCTGCGGAAAATTTGTATACCTTTGACTGGGGAGTTCATCCAAGCACCTGGCATTCTCCCTCCAGGACTCATTTTAGCTGTTGTGGCTGATCTGCCGTAGAATTCAGCCCGGCCCTGCTTTCCTGCAGCCCTCCATGACTTGTACCTACATAAAATTAGAAAGACGTGTCACTATATTATAAAATGGGAAGACGATAGGAAGTACATAAACTTTTGGGGGAACTTACCTAGGTTGCCTCGTCCACTTTATGATAAGGGAGCATATGGTGTACGATAAGACCACAGCAAGCAATGCTAATGGTGGATCAGGTGTGCTCTGTAAACCAACAAAAAATTATCTAAGTTCATTCCTCCCATTTTCACATTCAGGAGTACTGAGGCTTCACCATACCATGTCAAATAAATATCAAAGTTCTGAAGAAACTAGACATAATAAGAAAGATACAAATGTGATACCTGGAAGATAAAGGTGGTTGCAATCGCCCGAATAGCCCATTTAACAAACTCTGCTACACCACGGTCCACACTTCCGTCTTTTGCAACAACAAACTTTCTAACCATCCAATACCCTAATCCTGCTCCGGCAAGCACAATGCCTACTAATACAAATATGTAGACCTGCAAATAAGATAAGGCCACATCAGGGGGGATGATTTTCAATTCATACAAAAAAAAAAACTACCCGACATGAGCCATCAAACATGCATATATATTTAACATAGTGTCTCTATTATTATACCTATGTTTAGAAAACAAATGAAATGATGTTCAAGAGAGTCAAAACTAAAGTCAATGGAAAGTACGAGATTGAGCAATAATGGAGTTCTAGGCATACAAATCTGACAATACATATGATGTGATCTTCCTAGAATTCAACAAACAATGTTATTTAAATTGTGAGCAAGGAAAATGAAGTTTTTGACTCACCGGATTGTGCATCTCCTCATCAAGCCCAAAATTAAGAAGAATAGAATTGATGAGCTCAGATACGTGGTGCAAAATGAAGGTGCCAACCCCAAGCTGTAACCAAAAATTGAGGAGTGAGACTGTTGTCCAATAGCAGATTAACAGAAAAGAAGATGCCAAGTCCACTCACCACTGAGCCATATATTGACAGATAGAGGACATTTTTCCTTCCAGTCGGCAGTAATTTCATACCCTGAAGATTAGACAGTAAGTGTTACTTATGGAATGAGAAAACTAGGAGGATGAAACCAGAAAATGGAATTGTACGCACCAAGTTAAGTCACATTATCTCAAATTGTCTGCCATCTTGTTACTATTCAGAATAAATGGATAAATAAAACACCCCAAACATAGGCCAACCTGTGATCTTCTAGATAAGAGTTTGGAAGTTTCTGTATAAGCAAACAAACCAAATCATGCACTGATCTCAGTAACATGAGACAACAAACCCTGTTCAGGAGCTTGCGCTTGGAGGGTAAAATGGATAACTACCAAAAAACAACTAAGCATATCATAATGGACTTGAAGAACTCTTGGGAACAAGTAACTTCACTCTTTTCCCTAGACCATTAAATAAAAGCAGAAGAATAATCCAAGCTAACAAGCAGTTACACAGAATGAGACAGTGAGTAGTTACACGAAGATTTGTACGAGAGAATTGAGATTACAGCATACCTGAAATAGAAGAATGATGATGACAAGAAAAATGCCAATAGCCATTGAAGTGCTATAATAGAACGGAACCCAGCTGCTGACAATTGGTGCAAACAGTAGCAATATGAATCCCGCTGCCAGACACAAGAGGCGCCACCGTTGTGGTTCTGCACAGTCAAAAGAAGACTGATGATAACCAAGTATATCTAAGAAGACAAGGAGCTCAACAATGATGAATAAGATCACAAAGGAAAACATTACCTTCTTTAAGCTGGACAGTGATACCGCCACCAGATATTCCTCCAGTGGTCTTCACATCAATATATCTCTCCTGATAAGGAGACATGACTGAACTCCATTGGCCATTTTGAACAGTTTTCCACTCTTCTTTCTCACAATCACACTGTCCAAGTGAAGCATTCCTGAACAATGCTTAAGAATCAGATTAAAACTGCAACTGAAGGTTTCCTTAATGTCAAGATATATATATTCACTTACCGGTGGAAGCAAACATGAATCCTTCGATGAAGTCTTTCGGGAATAACAGGAAAAGGTACCAGTGTAACTCTGAGAGCGCTAGAATAGCTAGCAAGTTTCAGTCTTGATTGACCAGAAATTTCAACTCGTTCACAGAACAATGCTTCTTTTGGATCGCGGCCAGGTGAATGTCCATACTGAGAGCTAAAATGGATCCGTCTTGGGTTTCCTAGATCAACACCTGCAAGCAAATTGTACGTTAGTTTTCATAATGGCAACTAAGGCAGCAAAGAAAGGTTCCTCAGAGGATCGTGTCTAAGCCTTTTGCCCTTGACGATTACAGTGTACTGCCACAACTAGCATAGAGTACGAGACAATCTTTCTCAAAGCAATTCCACAAAGGAAACCTAAACCGCAATCCCCTAACATTATTCTCTCATTTGCATTGTACTTTGCCCTACAAAAATCCTCGGCATATCACCTTAATTGAAAAGATCGATGAAATTAAAAGCTAAGACGCAGGGAATTTACAGAAGAGAATACTTAACAGCCAAACCAACCCCTTCGGCTCCCCCAATTTCTCCGAAGCCAATAGTAACAACCATAACCACCAGGAAGCAAAAAGCGGAGATAACAAAAGGGAGCGGGAAGCGAGTTCTTGGAAACCAAAGCAACAAAGAGCTAGAAAACCTACCGCATTTGGGTTGTGCGAAGAGAGTAAATTGACAGAAACCCATTCTACCTTCCAATGTGGTCATTTCGTAGGCTGCTGCATGAGATAGGACGATGATGGAAGACCAGAGAAGAAGAAGGGCACATAGCGGCAGTGGAAGCGAAGCGGCCATCTTCGCCCAGATGGTGTCTCTTCCTCTCCTTAACCCGAGAGTGAGTAGAGTACTCAAGAATCCACAGAAGAGATATAAGGAGACACAAAGCGCGGTGCCCAACACGCCGGGGAGAGGCGGCAACTCTCCCTGCGTACCAATGCCGAATTGCCGATTCAATTTTCCCGTCGGTCTTCCCCGATTTAAATTTTTTTATTATTATAATTATTTGATAGGAAGTGGAACTAGCTAATTAAAATGGGCAATAAAAGAAACAAACAGAAAATCAAGGGACTAGGCAGGTTAACGAATAACGATCCCAAAAAAAAACACAAGGGATTAGGCCATGTTTGGAACTAGCCTATAGCCCGGCCCGTTGGCCGCATTTGTTTAAGGAAATGGAGTTATAATATCTATAATGATAGTGTCGAGAAATGAGTCTTGTTTTATATTATCATAAGATTGTTGCAATTTTGCAATTCGTTGAAGACGAACATGTAATATGAATGAACATTCATAATAAGTTAAAAATACATTTGAAGATTAGCTAATCACAATAAAAATACTTACATGAAATTTTACTAATCACAAATCTAATCTAGTTGAGTATTACGACAAATAACATGCAAGTCCAAAATAAGAAAACTCAATACATTGTCTCATTGTTCATGACATGGTACTCAATTCAACAAAGGCAAAAATAATTTCACCAACACAAGTTCACAATAACCAAATGCATCGTTCTAGGGACCGACTGTGACCATGACTTCAAATGTCTGTTCTCCAAGCATGTTCAGAAGGGCCATATAGTCAGCATTGACAACATCTGCATGACTGAATACAGATTCAACAATCGTTCGTAACTGTGATGACGGGAAGACGATGTCAACACCAATGAATTCGTCCTCAATTGTGAGGTGGACGAAATGGATTCTGATCCAGGGGAGCAGGACGTCGTCAAATTCGTTACACGTCCGGATAACAAAAAAGAGGTGCCCTGATGTAAACACAGAAACGAATATTGTCAAAGCAAATCGATAAAATGCAGCATGCCACAAAAGGCGTACGATTAAAAAGAAATTTATTTGTTTAGTTACTTGATTTTCGACATCCACTTGCAACATAATGAGATCGATGGTGTCGGCACGCTCACAAATTTCAAGAGCATCATCATATTGCAGATTAGCAATAAAACCATGGGGAAGCCTATATATTGGACTGTAAGTTTTGGCATTAAGTAGTGAAAAAGAATCGAAATTACATGATGTAGTATTTGTTGGATGCATGAGCAGTACTTACTGATTGAATTGAGGCAGGCCCGCCATATTGAATGCAATTCGCACGGTCAATGGAACCGAAGTGTTTTGTATGGGAAGTAGTAAACGGAAATTGTAACATGAGAGAAAGTGGTATCTCCATTATATAAAGGAGAGAAAGTGATTCTACACACCTGATTTACTTGGCCGCATGCAGTGGAGTATGTGTGTGTGTGGAAAGTGGGATAGTGGGGGAGTGGAGAAGGATTTGTGGCCTCGTGGGGGAGTGGAGAAGGTTGGCCATTTAGAGTTCAAGAGGCGGGTGTGTCAAGGAACTCAAGACCCACCTTTTTTTTTTTAGGGGAACGACCCACCTTCTTAAAATCAAACATGCGCCTTCCTTTTATTTTGTTGCAATTAAAAATTCAAAAACAAAAGAAGGTAAGTACAGAATAAAATATAAAGAGAAGAAAAATCAGTTCACTTTTCCCAAAAAAGACCTAGCAGCCGCCCAAATTATGCTTTTTCAGTTTTAATAATTCTCACTTTATTCTTTTATCTCTAATAAGTGAAACAATAATTGTAAAAAAAAATAATTGTTAAGTCTACCAAGTAAGTCAACACCGGTTTATGATCGGTTTTTAATATCGATTAACCACCGGTTATTTGATAAACCTTGAACCCTTTACTAATCCGGATCGATGTCCGGTTCCGTTTTAACAACATTGCTAATTGCGACTGTGTCAACAATTCTTGTCCAAAATTGCCTCTCAAAGTTGCTAATTATTATTTGATGCGCCAACCCGGCCGGCCCGGCCCACACCACCACTAATTAACATGAAATGAAAATCATAATGAATGTATTTAATAAAGAAATAATGGCTTGGAATGCGGCAGCCTTCACCTCATAGAAGATCCAAAAAAATCGGATACTGGGCAGTAGAGGAGGTGGGGGAGTGGAGAAGGATCCGCCCAAGGTAGTGTAGGTTGGCCTTTTTTTTATGGGAATAGGTTGGCCATTTAGTTTCAACAAATCCGGCTGGGCATTCCCTCTCTAACTATATTTTATTTAACTGAACCATGCTTGGGTTGTTTTGTGGGCTGGGTTGTGATGTTAATTTAGTTTAGTTCAGTTGCGACTATGGAAGTTCTTCTTCGTATTGCAATATAACGGTCACACTCGCATACCCTTCGGTAGAGTAAATTGAGGTACAATTAAATATAAAGTAGTGTGCATAAATCACATTTCATATAATTGGCTGTTAAAAACAGGAAAATAATTTGGACAAATTGAGAACTCAAGATTCAAATTGTAACGACCCGATAAATTTGACAGTCTTAGTCCTCAAATCGAATAAAACATAATACATCAATAAACCACTACTCAAAAATCTCAGTGAACACAATGTTCTGCATAGTCTTCATCGGTTTACCTTGAGAGTCACAGCTAAGAATCTTGAATCCCCTTTCCGACGTAACTCGAGACATAGCAACATACAACTGTCCATGAGAAAATACTTGTCTTTGCAAGCAGATGCCAACGTGATTTAATGTTTGACCTTGACTCTTGTTAATTGTCATTGCATATGACAGTGCAATTGGATATTGCCTTCGAACCAGAGTGAAATTTAAGCTCTTGTAGTGGACCGATAAACTTAGGCGTGGTAAGAAAACTGTATCACCAACATGTGTCCCGGTCAAAATTTGGACCTCAATAAACCACTTACCTAATCTCTTAACGATCATCCGAGTTCCATTGCAAAGCCCAGTACTCTGATCCAGATTTCGAAGCAGAATAACAGGGCACCCCAACTTCAATTTCAACTCATGTTCCGGAAAATTCCCAATCTTTAAAGAGTTCAAGAATTCAACTGTGTAGTCCCCTTCTTGAACATGCTGATTCTTGGCATCAATCTCTAGCGAATCCGAACTAAAATAAGAAACTTCTTCACCAGGAAATAGACCCAATACATAATTGTTAATGTCCGCAACAGTGTCATTATGAGGGGCTAAGATAGCTCGCTCAACCAATTAGGTTGACATATTTTCAGTGGAGAGTAACTGACCATATATTTCAGCAACAATATCAGGAATTGGATCACTGCGACGGGGAACACAAATGTGTAGAGGTATCGGGATAATTGATTCTCCAAAAATATTACTATTTGTACCATCACCAATTTCCAAAAGCCATTTGCTAAAATTTGAGATTGCTAACCTGGCCGATGCTTCAGAATGAGGCAATTTTAATCGCATGTTCTCGGTTAGTTTCAATACTGTCATAGACCGCCACAAATAAGATCTCTTTATGGAAGAATTAACAATTTCAGTCTGTGTACCCTTCGTGATGATAGGTAACGTCTGTCGGAAATCACCTCCAAACACAATAGTCATACCTCCAAAAGGCTTCAACTCAGAATCAACATGCTTAACTCGGAAAATATCCCTCAATGTCCTATCTAGGGCCTCTATGTTGTGTTTATGAGCCATCGGTGCCTCATCCCAGATAATAAGTGAAGCATTGAGAATCAATTCAGCTACCTCAGAACCTTGCTCAATATTGCAAGTTGATTTTGTATCACAATCCAGGGGAATGTGAAATCTTGAGTGTGCAGTTCTTCCACCGACCATGAGCAGTGCAACAATACCAGATGAAGCAACACATAATACTATCCTCTTCTCAAATCTTAATTGCTCACAAATTGCTCGCCATAGAAATGTCTTACCAGTACCCCCAAATCCATCCACAAAAAAGCATTTACCCTCATTGGTATAAACAGAATGTAATACCATATCGTAAGCGATTTGTTGTTCTCCATTCAACGGTCTACTATGTCGATCCTCAGAACAGTCTAAGTCATCGGGTCCATAATTCATCTCCATATCTATCAGCCTGTTTACCGTATGTGAACGCAAACACTGATCGGGAACAGGCAACCCAGGGAAATCTGCTAATGACTTCGAAAATCTCTCCATCAATTTGTCAATATGAATAAGGCACAACTCCTTAATTTCATCCTCCGACAAATTCAACTGGGGTAAATTCAGCTCTCTACGTCGTGAATGCAAAATGCCTTCACTTAGTAATTCCCAATTCTTTAACCAAAAAGAAGTCACATCAGCCACCTAACAATGAATAAGAATTGTGACAAAAAGTTTTCTAAGTTTATAACCAGAAGGCCAGTGCGAAGCTTCTTGGACACAATCGTTCCATTCAGAATCTCCTGATAACAGTCCCCGAGCAAAACATGCTTTTTGGAATGTTTCATATACCACCCTATTCACTGTTCTAATATCATCATAAGAACAACAACCCCTAACAACATGCAATAGCATTCGCAAATAGTATCGCTCCTTTGCGGATGGGTAGCAGTAATATAATCTAGCAATGCAGGTACCTTTTTTGCGCTGCTGCCACTTCTTGTATTTTTTATTCCATACATAATATTGTGGCATCTCCGCAAAGGTATATTTCCGTGCATCCATTGACTGAAGATTGAGATCCATCCATGCTAACAACATTGAGGTTTGGGAACTGCTAGACTCAACCGCTTCCTCCACGTTAGAATCAATATTTGAATACACTGTATTCTCACCAGGCAAATGACAGGACATACGCAGTACTGTTGGAGAGTGAGTGTATATATCAAACCTAAAAATTCTCCAACATGCTTCTCCCGATGTGATGTAACGGGCATCCATGAATGCCTTTATCTCATCGATTTGCACAACCGTAGTTCCACGATTCCGACCATCCATAGCCGAAGCTGTTTGTTGTGCAGCTACAGTGACCATTGCACGATCCTCGGGTTTGTTGATGTACTTAAACAAATATTTCACAGCCCTATAGAAACATCAAATAAAACCAAGTTGTAGATGTTAGATAGGGAAGTAGGAAAAAGTTGTATTACATTTTTTCTTAAATGTGACCTGTATTAAATAAGAAATCAAAGTACAGAGAACAAAAGGCAACAAATGGATCACAATAGCTTATCCAAGGGGCAAAAAAAAAAAAGAAGGAAAACACACCAAAAAATATTACAAAATTAGAGAGTTGCGGCAAGAAGTCACACCAATAAGATAACACTGGGTTTATAAAATAACTAAAAAAAAAGAGGAATCGCACAAAT